TATACGTTGTCCCTAACAAGGTGGTACAACGCCGGACAATCCCAACTCTGGGATCGAACATGGGACCTCCAGGTTAGCGAGCAACGTCTTACTCACTTAGTCACCGCGACGTTTTACTTTTATGTACCAACTAGACCGTGACGGGGGGCCGGCAAGGGAGAACGTATAGTCGTTCGGATGGTACCAAAAAACTGGGACCCCCATGGAATTCTATATAATAATAGGTCATATTTTCCATTTTATGTTTAAATTTCCCTCATATCACACTGTATGGCGTTTGCCCGTTCACATTAGCCCAGTCGAAGAAGAGCAGTAGGACGTTCAACCTCATTGGCCTAGATCGTTTAACCTGGTCTCGTCGTGTCTATAAACATGGTCTGACACGGAAGTGGATATTAAGTGTATTGACAACACGTTATAAACCATCTGACAGTAACAATAGTATGTAGTACCGCTGCCAGGGCTAAAGTGTCCCCATTAGCCATGTTGGTGTCAAATAGTAAGACGTTAAACCGTCATTGTGTCGTGAAAGTTTGATATGACGACAGATGTATTACGAGAAAGTATTTTTAAAATGAAAATCAACATGTCTTTGATGGTGTCCCGTGAATTTTCACGAAACACCAATAAAACTGTCGTATTTTTATATTCAGTAAATTTAAACCTCATGTTACAGGCTGTTTAATTAAAAACATGACAGACATTCTTGTCCTTCGTTGGAATCTAACAACATCTATTAATTTAAGAACATGCAACAGGAAAGCCATTTTTATTCGTCATTAATACAAGGTTTAAAGAAAAATTAAATCACCAGTTTAAAAAATTATCAAAATAAAATCGGACTCGAACTTAACCTTACAATTTAAACACTATAATACTGGGTGTGACGTCATTACTTATTTATTGCCAACTGATTCTGACTCAATAAATATTTTTATCTTTGTTGTCATGTTTTGTCATGCGCAACAGATCACTGAACCATTGAGAGTAAACAGATATAATACTGGGATATAACGAAACGTACCACTTTAATAAATGTCAAGTCACTTAAAGATACATTATGGGGGATTAGATAAAGAGCTGACAGTTCTCGCTATAAAAAACTAGATAATGTAAAGGGAATTTGCTGAAAATTTTAGTCAAATTGGTCCACTCTGAATCGAGAGTTTAACGATTGAATTTTCGGCCTAGCCTCGATCATCATTACTTAAGTTTGTACGATAAAAATACATAGTCTCGATTATCCATTTCATGATTAAATTATGAATGGAATTCGAACAGCAAATCGGAAACTAATCCAATAAAGATCGCAGGCTAACGATGACATCAATAGTTTATTATGGTCTGGATAAGTTAATTAATGTCTAATTGATAATTTAGATAACATTTCAGGCCTAAAAAAGGACATGCAATAGACAGATTTAGCTCTTGCATAATGTATTTTATAAATGGGTGATTGTAAAGGAAGATATACAACTGTATTGGGGTGTAGGGGAGTGGGTGTAGGGGGAGCGGGTGGACTGGTTGCGTGACCTAACGCGTGAGGTATAAGGTCTGTCATTGAGTCAAGTGGCATGGTTTCGAGCCCTAGCTGTAGGGACGCCTCCGCTACGTGGGTTATCACGGAATCTCTCTCTCTCTCTACCATTATTATATATAAAAGCTATACATCTCAGTAGAGTACTACACGTACCTGAACAAATATATATTACCTATATATACACACAAATATTACCTATATAAACAAATAGATATTACCTATATAAACATTACATATGCAATATTACCTATATAAACATATATATATTAACCGGCGACAAGAAAATGATTCAATTTTTGAACTATTGTACTTATATCTAAATGACAAAGCAATATGCTTACAAAAATATGGCGAATTTTAGGAAGGTGTTCCTAATAGTCCCAACACCCCATGAACGATCACGAATGATCACGAGCACACCCATTCGCCAGTGTGTGGGAGTAGCATTAATAACCAAGCAGAAGTATGGGCAAGGGGTTTATATCCAGTCGCAAGGGGTTTATATCCAGTCGCAAGGCATTCGTAATGATTCGTAAGGAATTCGGAAGCATTGATTAACTTTTGTAAGGCCTCTTTTTTTTCTTTTTTTTTAGTATTTCTGCAGATCAATCTAATCATGTTCGGCGAATTTGTTGCGAATTTCAAATGTGCATACTTTGTACTGTGTTATAGTACCAAAAATAAATCAAAATGAAATCTTAGTCGAACTAACACCAATTTCCAATAGTACGATGATCCGATACATTGACATCCGGTTCTGGTTTTCAAAAAAGATATAAAAAAAACAATCCCCACAAAACACATCATTTTTTTCTTTAATAGAATTGAATAATTGTTTTCTTTTTACAGCTACAGTAGGACGTTAAACCCCATTTCATTCCATTTCATTCCATTTCATTCCATTTCATTCCATTCCATTCCATTCCATTCCATTCCATTTCATTTCATTTCTATTTGCAGTTAGGAGGTTTGGCGCTTACAGGAGCTGGTAGCTATGTTCTATATCTCAAGGAAAAGACAATCAATACAATGATAGATTTCCTCTTCGATCCGTCTGTGATGATCGTATTAATAGGAGCCATTATAATGTTTGTGTCGTTTTTTGGACTTTTGGGATCTCTACGTGAAATAACATGCTGTTTAAAATTTGTAAGTATTAATTTCCAATCAAAACACATTGGATTAATTACCAGGATTAACCTGCAATTACCAGAATGTAATAAAATTGATAATTAAATCAAAAACAATAATTTAAAAAGAAAAAGCAACGAATATGACCCTATGTGAATTCCGGTAATAGTATGTGAATACCGGTAATTGTATGTGAATTCTGGTAATTGTATGTGAATTCCGTTAATTTTATGTGAATTTCAGTAATTAATGTAATTCAGTTTAATAGTTCAAAATTTCGTTTTACTTGTCTTTACTACACCAGGATCTGGGAGAGTTACCCGCGTTCTGGATGATGGGAGGGATTAGCCAATGAAACGGTCTGTTTCGGCGACTTTTTGACATGAGGTGCACGGAACTGTGGGTAACCCACTAGAAACATCAACGCTGATTGATTAATCAAATAGCTGATGTCATAGGGTCCATAGCCTCTCGTATGACCTCTGAGGCGACCCTTCACTACAACCGGTCAGATCTTTATGTAGTGGAGGCTATCGAAAGTATAAACAAACGAAAGGAAATATAGATTTGTATTTGAATCAGATTGCTGTAAAATAGTCTAAACGATGTTAGTGTTTATATATAGTAGGTGTATTACGGTAAATTGTATAACTTATATACACCAATATATAAATTAATAGACAGACTGAATACAAATCAATATTATACAATAATTAGATTACTTTAGATTGTCGCTGTCCAGAATAATCTGAATCGAGTTGGATTTATTATATTCATACCATTAATATTGTCGATAATTGTTTTCATAGAGTTTCTATTCAATAGGAGATTTCCAGGAATTTAATGACACCATCCTACGATGTTATCATTAGAATAATAGATTTACTGGCTTTTTAAACAAATGAAATGAAATGAAATGTGGCTTAATGGCTTTTTAAACATTTTTCATTAGTCCCATGATATTATCTTACATATGATGACATAATTTGGTTTTAGGCTATATTGAAAAGTATTCAATCCATAAAAGCTATATTAGATAACTGCAGGTGTTATAATTGCGCGATAAACATTTTATTCCCCAACAAAAACTTTCTGAATAAATGCAAATTTGTTGGGATGAAGAGTTTGTAGTAACACTGCTGCCTCGGCGAAATGCCCCCCCCCCCTTCCCCATAGCATATTTCATAACGTATACCCGTCTTTATTAGCTCCAGTAGTGCAGGGAAATAAAATGTCCTACTTTTCGTTGAATCGACATACCATACTAATACCAGAGGTCATCAAGTCAAATCTTTAGATAAAATGGTAATTTATAATAAATCAGTCCTGTCAGTTAGAAAGGGGGAAGTGACTCGTATAGACTTGAATGAAGAAATGGCGTCTTTAATAAGTCTTGATATTTGTAAGGCATAGCTTTATTCAACAGAATATAATAAATATAAGTTGTAAAGAGACGTTTCACCAATTTAATGTATATAAAGATATTTAATACTTCTACTAAGGATTAGAATACTTAATAAATAAAAAGAAATTCAATGGGGTTTAACGTCCCACTCGTCTGCACTAACTGGGCCAATGAAAACGGACATACGTCATCCATGTAGTGTGCTTTGAGGGAAATCTTCCACACAGTACAAACTTTCTTGGAGATCTACCTATATCCCCTCAGTCCATGGTTTCCTCGGACAAGACCCTGGAATGTTTAGATCGTCGTGTTTAATGTATATATATATACATGAGAAAATGGCCTGATACCGTTAGAAACTACATGTGATTTTATGGTCTGTAGGCCTATAATTTATAGACATGGCTGTCAAAGGTTAATTAAACTGTATAGTATAAACATACAACGCCCTGTTGGTTATCGTGTAGACAAATTATAACTACATTCTATATTACTCAGATAAGAAATGAAATAAAATGGGGTTTAACGTCCTACTGTTCTGCTCCGAACTGGGCTAATGAAGACGGGGAGGGGATACGCCATACAGTGTGCTATGAGGGAAATTTTGACCGGACAGCGGCACTACGGCCTACTCTTATATCGAATTCTAACTGTCAAGGGATATTTTACGTGCACACCAATGTGTACACGGGACCTCGGTTTTTCGTCCCATCCGAACGACTAGACAGCTCTCCGTCCTGCATCACTGATAAGGGGGAACCACGTCGGAAAATCTGGATGAACTTTCTCGGCCAATCCAGGGATCGAACACCCGACCTCCAGGCTAGCGAGCCAGCGCCCTACCCACTTCGTGATGCCCATTAAGAGAAGACAGAGATTTATATATATTATATTGTTAAAACATAAATTATTATTTATTAGACATTCACATGACAAGCGATACATTTAACGATACAATAGATAATGGACATTTAGTGTCGATTGTCATGTACCGTTGCTACGATAATAAACGATCTCAACTACATCTTCAAACACACATAACATCCCCCAGAATAAAATATTTTGAATGAGGTCTTCATTATTGTTATTTTGCATGATCTATTTTTGAAATATTATAACAAAAACTGACAGGTCTTTATCTAAATCTTACCGAATGCTTTGTTAACTGTCTGGTCACCAAAATAACCTTGTAAGTTGAGTTTAAACCTTTTAAGTTGACGAACTTTATCCCTGTAAGTTGGGCATGATGACCTCGCTAACATTGTAAGATGCTGAACTTTAACCTTGTAAGTTGCTGAACTTTAACCTTGTGAATTGCTGAACTTTAACCTTGTAAGTTGCTGAACTTTAACCTTGTTGCTGAGCTTTAACCTTGTAAGTTGCTGAACTTTAACCTTGTAAGTTGAGTATTGTAGAGTTGAGTATTATTTGAATATTATTTCAATGTTGTAATTTCAGTATTATATAATATTAATGATCCTGCTCCTATTAGAGATAGCAGCTATTGTAATAGTATTTGTATTCTACTACGTACCATCAGCCAGGACAACTCTAGGTTTATACCCGGAAGATACCCTAAAAGATGCAATCATAAAATATAGAGATGACGAAGATATGCAAAACTTTATCGATCAGCTTCAAATACAGGTAGATCTAATAAGTATCTAGTCATTCAGATTGAGGAGCCACGGTGGCTAAGTGGGCAAGACGCTAGCCCTCTAGCCTGGAGGTCGCGTGTTCGATCCCTGCATTGGCCGAGAAAGTTCATCCGGCGTGGTTCACCCTTGTCAGTGATGCAGGACGGAGGGCCTGACAAAAACAGCTGTCTAGTCGTTCGGATGGAACGAAAAAACGAGGGCCCGTGTATACGTAAAAGATCCCCTAGCAGTTAGAATTCGATATAAGAGTAGGCCATAGAGCCGCTGCCCGGGCAAAATTTCCCTCATAGCACACTGTATGGCCTATGCCCGTCTTCATTAGCCCAGTTCGGACGTTAAACCCTATCGTCCCAAAGCCCATAACCATTAAAACAGTTTAACGGTCTACAGATACAAGAACGGAGGAATCACTAGTCGATCTGGAGAAGTCACCCCTCCAACCACCGCTTATCTCACATATACCAATCTGTTTCACAGAGAATTACGAGTCTTCTAATATCTCTGTCACAACACGCGGCGTCAATCATTGGCTGAATGGCGCGTGCATTGTTTGCATAAGACGTTACTGCTTCGGGCAGAATGCTGCCTTTTAGTCATTTTAATACCCATTTACACTAAATAGGAAATAATTTTACCTACAAATACGTCAAATGACTTTATTTATTTTTCCAATAAAAAAAAATGTTTTAGAATTTAATTGGGCGCAGGAAAAAAGTTAATATTTCTGACTCATTAAGTCGCATCGATGTCATCCTTATCAGTGATTGTAGCGGCCTATCGAAAATTCACTGCTGATCAGTGTGGACATATACATCAAAAATACAAGAAACAAATCTTGACCTCGTCGTTCTGCATGAAACTCATAAATAACATGGCAACGATTCATCCATTTTGAATCACAATTGAAGACTTTTTAAAGTATTTTTCATTTATTTTCAGTTAAAATGTTGCGGTGTTAGTAATGATGACGTTGGTTATATGGATTGGAATTCTAATATTTATTTTAACTGTACGACTGATACTTCCGGTCCGAGAAGTCCCGAGAGTTGTTCAGTACCATTTTCATGCTGCAAACTAGTCGCTGTAAGTATACCTACCCCCCCACCCCCCTCCACACACGTCCCTGCCTAACCCATGTGTGGAACGTAGGTCCTGGCAAGGTTTAGCGGATAATCCTTCGGATTGGCAGTTCGTTGAAGATCCCCGGTAGACAGAAATTGCAATAAGAGTCCTGGTAGGTCGCAGAGATCGGTTGTCAAGGTAGAAACTTCCCTCATAGCACATTACAGGTCGATTGCCCGTCTTCATTAGACATGGAGACGTTGTATTAGCAGCAAACAGTAAACCATCGGCGATAGGGGGGTTGGAAGGCCGAATGGTTAGCACGTGCGCGCTGCGCTGTATCATACGGTCTGTCATTGAGTCAACGGGCGTGGTTTCGATTCTCCGGTTGTACGTGACAAGGAGTAGGGTCGCCTGTCCAACCTCGTGGGTTTTCTCCGGGTCCTCCGGTTTCTTCCCACTGCTAAAGACCCCTACGCGAAAGCGAATTATTGAAATAAAATTGAACCATGTGTTAGTCCCGAAATGACCTAGTTTGTGTCGAGTGGACGTTAAACCCCATTTCTCTCTCTCACGCCGCCATCGGCGATACTTGTACAGGATCGGAAAGGGGCGAAAAATAGGAGGAATGGGTGAGGTGGGGCTTACATGTGGAATAGAGAAGGAATAAGGGTGTCATTGAGAAGGGATAGAGTGGATAAAGGAAGGAATAAGAATGACATATGGTGGAATGGGGAGGGGGGTAGATATGGAATAGGGCAGGAATACAGAAGGAATAGGGAAGGGATAGGGGTGGTATAGGGTGGAATAGGGGAGGAATAGGGGAAGGATAGAGATGGCATATGGTGGAATATGCACTGTGGTTAAATGGTCTAAGTGGACTATTTTACACAGAGAGTGTCATGGCTGCCTTATCTTCTGCCAGTGCAAAGAAATCGATCTGGAATTTGGAAATCGTACACCTGTTTTTCATCTCATTGTAATGGCTCGGCACATGTTTCCGGCTCAGTTCCTTCCTATCGTAATGACTCGCACGTGTTACCTGCTCAGTTACACTTCAGTAGAGAAAGAAATTGTTGTATATTGTAATGTAAAATTCTGACTGATGTACCCCAAGTATACGATATAAACAATAAAAAAACATCACGCCATCTAATGTAAAATGTTGACTGATGTACCCCAAGTATACGATTTAAAAACAATAAATGTCTATTCATAATTTATCATATTTTTCAATGTTGTAGGGACAAAATTTGGATTACCAGTGTGGTGGCGGAGTCATGAGAACGGATAGTGACGTAAGTTAAATTAATATGAAGATAGATCTAACCAAAAACATAGGTCATAGGTCAAACATAGGTCATATCAAACCATAGGTCACAGAAAAAACATAGGTCATCGGTCATAGCACAAATATAGGTGGCATCACAAACATTCATAGTTCATAGCAAATACAATGGCCACACCGGAAATATAAAAAAAAACAATTCTTAATCTGTCAAAATACCTGGCTTTAAGTAGATTAGTCCATGGTTGATAATTGTACGAGTTTGCGGTTTAATTAGCATGTTTAATTAGAATTTTTAATTAGAATGTTTAATTATAATGTTTAGTTAGAATGTTTAATTAGAATGTTTAATTATAATGTTTAATTAGAATGTTTAATTATAATGTTTAGTTAGAATGTTTAATTAACATGTTTAATTAGAATGTTTAATTAGAATGTTTAGTTAGAATGTTTAATTAGCATGTTTAATTAGAATGTTTGATTGGTATTTGTTTTATATATTTTAAGCAATCAAAGATCTACACTAAGGGTTGTTTAAAGGGTCTAGAGGTGTGGTTAAACGATAATGCTCTAATTATTGGTGGTGTTGCTATAGGGATATTGATCCCACAGGTACGATAAAACAAATTAACTTACCTTGTTAAATAATTCCAATAAGACGACAGAGAAGATGACAAGACCCATCCTCTTTTCTCACGACACCGTGTTGATTAAAAGAGACATCACAGGAATGTTTTTATGTTTGATTCCCGTTTTGTTATTTCTCCTTCATATGTAAAGAGGGGGTCACGGTGGGTAAGACGCTGGCTCGCTAGACTGGAGGTCGGGTGTTCAATCCCTGCATTGGCCGAGAAAGTTCATCCAGATTTTCCGCCGTGGTTCTCCTTTGTCAGTGATGCAGGCCGGAGGGACTAACTGCCTTGTCGTTCGGATGGGATGAAAACCAGAGGTCCCTTGTACACATTGGCGTCCACGTAAAATATCCCTGGACATTTGGAATTCGATATAAGAGAAATGGGGTTTCACTCGACACAAACTAGGTCATTTCAAAATTAACACATGGTTCAATTTCAACAATTCATTTAGCAGTGGGAGGAAACCGGAGGACCCGGAGAAAACCCACGAGATTGGACAGGCGACCCTATTCTTGTCAAGTGCAACCGGGGAATCGAAACCACTCCAGTAGGCTCAATGGCGGACCTTGTGCTACAGCGCGCATGTGCTAACCATTCGCCGCGCCCCCACCCCTCCATGTAGAATGTAGTGGATGTTAAATTTGTAATAAACAATAACAACAATATCTATTTATTTATTTCAGGCATTCTTTATTTACGTTGCCAAAACACTGACCTATCAAATAGAGGAACAGAAATCAAAGTGGTGAGACGACGATTCGAATGAAATCACGTGTTACAATAGAATTAACATAAAACGAATATTAAAAGTCACAATGAACCGATGTATGTTGAGAATTTACACAAGGGTTCTAACAGAGAGATTATTCTATTAAAAATAACCATTTATACTTATTATATATTTAATATTCCAATATTACGTCCATTCCTACACTCTTACAGTTCCGATACTCTTACGGTTGCGACAGATTGTACTTTTATCCGGTATTTCGATGAAGAGTTATATTGTAATTTGTGCCTAACAACAGCCATTTGACAGGAATTCCGGCGGTAAAATGAGAATTTATTATTATTATTAACACTTATTAAATCGGAATACTAACACTCTGTCCAGTCTGTCGCTAATACTCTGGTTAAAATCACGTGTCATATATTACTTCCCTTTATTCAATATGACGTGCAGGTTATTGGTGCAATGTTAAAATAATACCCCTATCGCAACTTTAAAATGTACCACCGGATCTATAAAAAAAAACGGAACGAAAAGATGCATTATGTTAGATTTAGATAAAGAGCTGATCGTTCGTGCTATAATAGTTCAAAAATAGATAATGCAAAATGAATATATTGAAAATTTCATTCGTATTCCTTTTTTTTTCGTGCCCAGGCAAAGTTATCACTGTTTGTAGTTTTAACAGGATGCGTGCATCGATTGTTTATCATCGTAACAAGAGTACTGTATATTCGGGACTTCTCCCCGCTTCTCCTTTTTAAATTAAATCATAATTTAACCGAAGAGTTCTAATCTACTTAAAATCTGAGCCATCTTATTGTGAGCTTGTCTTAAAATCGGAGCCATCTTATTCTATGGAGAGTTGATTATGAGCTTGTCATATCTATTAATAAATGTGTAAATGATAGCTCATATAACATTTAAAGTCAAATTAAGTCTTGAAATGAGCCGATTTGACTCTTACATAATGCATCATTTAAAAAAAGAACGATAACTAAAATACCATGAAAGTATTGACGTAATATGATTTTATAGTGTATCCTTCCTTAATCAAATATCTTAAAGGACAATATTGGTGTCAGTCCTTTATTATGTTATAGAACTGGTTAAACACGTTCCAAATATGATTTTAACACAGAGATCATTGCTATGATAGATGCGTAATAAAGATTTTAAATAACGGAAGTGACGAAAGCAAAAGGAAAACGCGAGTTAAACTTCTATACAAAGGACGGAAGTGACGAGTGATAACAGATACAGGGGTGAATTTCTGCAAGACCAAAATTTGTCATATGAGACTGATGGAGGATATGTGATAATGACTGACACCAATGTTGTCCTTTAATAATGCTGTATAAATATATGTATCTAGAAAGTGCCTTTAATGTATTTCCGTCTTGAATATTGTCAGGTTGTACATTGTATATCCATCTGATTAAAACACAGATCCTATTTCGTTTCGTTTTTTATAGTTCAAAATTTCATTTTACTTGTCTTCACTACACTAACATCCGGAAAAGTTGTTATATAACCCGCGTTCTGATTGAAGTGAGAGATTAGCCAATGAAACGGCCTGTTACGACGAGTTTTTGGTGTGAGGTGCACGGAACTGTGGGTAACCCACTAGAAATATCAATGCTGATTGGTTAATAAAATATCTGACGTCATAAGGCCAAAAAGCCGCTCGTTTGACCCCTGACACGACCTTCCACTACAACCGATCAGATCTTCATGTAGTATAGGCCATCGAATGTAAAAAAACGAACGAAATATAGATGTGTAATTTAATTGGATTGATTTTGTGTATGTATTATTGTATATAGGCAAGGAGCTGTGTAAATAGGCTTTGTTATTTGTCATCTTGGCCTTCTCCACAATTCATTACTCGCACAAAACCACTAGGCTTACTCGGTTACACGTTCCCGAAATAAATTCCCTCAATCCAAAACAATAGTGACAATCGAGTGAAAAGTGGAATTTTGAACTACAACGCATGCGTCGACTGCATACCAAAATATATCGACCAATCAGACAGCTGAAACATAATCGTTGTGTTTAATTACGTCACGATTCTTCTCACACCATCTTCGCTGTCGAGACTGAGTTCCACTTCACTCGATTGTAATTCTGTCAATTCGGGACGTTCTGGGAGGATAATGGAGTATCCCTGCTAAATTCATATTACTGAATGATAGAGACCATAATATGGCATCACTGAATGGCAGAGGCCATAAAATATGGCGGCAGTTTGTCTTATGTCGCTTTCGGTCTGAAGCCAATCAAATGTTGAGTTTTGCCACGATTATAATGGCCTGACAATAACCGAGGAACATGCGAGGAGAAGGTCAAGATATCATTTTTTATTTAAGGCGTTGTATAATCGTCGTGTTAAAACTCATTAATATATAGATATAGTACATTTTTATGTTTTAATTATTTATAAACAAATATAAAAATGGTTTCACGCTCAAGCATTTCTTGATATTTATCCGGTCGGTCGTGTTAAATATTTAACTGTATACAATAAGATTGCAGTATACCGAAAATGTGCTGTGGGCAACCTGAAATGCTCTGCGGTCAACCTGAAATGCTCTGTGGTCAATCTGGAATGCGCTATGGTCAACCTGAAATGTGCTGTGGTCAATCTGAAATGTGCTGTGGTCAACCTGAAATGCTCTGTGGTCAACTTGAAATGTGATGTGGTCAATCTGAAATGTGATGTGGTCAACCTGAAATGCGCTATGGTCAACCTGAAATGTGCTGTGGTCAATCTGAAATGTGCTGTGGTCAACCTGAAATGTGCTGTGGTCAATCTGAAATGTGCTGTGGTCAATCTGAGATGCTCTGTGGTCAACCTGAAATGCGCTGTGGTCAACCTGAAATGGGCTGTGGTCAACCTCATATTGGACAGTAATGAACTGATATAAAATGTAAAACAGGAGTTCCCAATCCCATTTCAACAACTCAGAATGTTTGAGGTTCCTCTTTGACAACAATGTCAACCAAATCATAGAAAATATAAAAGAAAAGACTTTAGTATAGCGTCACGAAACATTATAACGTTCAGATTAAATAAATTACTGGATAACATGACCATTGATTTTAATGTTTTTAGATCTCCCAATCAATTTATTGAAACTGCCTCCGCCGCTCAACAAATATCTCGCCAACAATCACGTGCCCTAACCTTGACAAAAATTGAGCTGGCCTTAACTTTTAGATTTAGCCGTTGCTCTTTGTCAAGTGGGACTACAATCAGATTTTAGCACTCATCCTAATGATGGACACAAGATCCATCTACACACGTCTCGCTGTCCAGCTGTGTGAACTGCAAGGGGAAGACAACTCTGTTTGGGAGATGTTCACCTATAACTACTTATATTGTTGTTCATAACAAGAATTATTTATGTCCTATAAAAATGTTGAAATTATGTAAGATATTGTTACTATTTTTAGCTGTTGGAATTATTTTAATATACGACAATGTTTATTAATAAAACAATTTTAGATACTAATGTTAATTTAATGATTTATCCGTTTTTTGTTCGGAAAGAGGTTTTAATTGAGATATCCTTTAGAGGGGTGTGGGTGGGGTGGGGGGACAACAGTGACTCAATAAAGCACTGGTTGTATAATCAGAAGGCCTTGTGTTCAAGTCCGGTGTTAGCTTGAGTGTAGATCAGGATTTTGTGGTTGTGGGCAGGGTGGAGGGTCTTGGAATTCGATGAAACGTTGATGGAAAGATGTCCGTGCAAAAATTTCTCGCATAACACACCATGTCATACACTCTGTTTCAAAACAAACCATAAGATACACCCTGCTTCATAACAAACTCTGTCATACACCTTTCCTTACAACACACCATGGCATACACTCTTCTTCATAACACACCATGTCATACACCCTGCTTCATAAACTATGTCATACACCCTGCTTCATAACACACCATATAATACACCCTTCCCTATAACACACCACGTCATACATCGGACTTCATAACAAACCATGTCATACACCCGGCTTCATAACAAATTATGTCATACACACTGCTTCATAACAGATTATGTCATACACCCGGCTTCATAACACACGATGTCATACACCCGGCTTCATAACACACCATGTCATAACACACCATGCCATACGCCCTGCTTCATTAGCCCGTGTGATGAAGAAAAGTGGCATATTAAACCCCATTTTATTTCATTGTGCAGGAATAGAATAACCGTTTCTATTGACCAGTGTTATGCAGTTTTACGGCTTTATTTTTATTATAGACTCGAGGGAGTCGCCGTGGCTCATTGACTAAGGCGCTAGCTCAATCTGTTTTACAGACCTAATGCGACATCCGTCTTTTATTTATATTGTAGAGGCCAAGCGAATATTCACTGCGGATCAGTGTGGCGCTAGCTAGGTAACGCGGTGGTCCGGGGGTGTCCGTGGTTCCTCTTGTCAGTTGTAGGCCTTACAGGTGAGTGTCTAGTAGTAAAAGAACCACCGCCAGTTGGAATTCGATATAAGAGTAGGCCGTAGCACAGTGTATGACGTATGAACGTCTAAATTAGCCCAGTAGGAGCAGAATAGTAGGATGTTAAACCCCATTTCATTTATATTGATTCAAGTTTTCTATGCAAACATAGGCTATAGTACAAGTATACACTTTACCAAACTCGGGGAAGAACTGTGGGATTAGTGTCGAAAAACAGCCCCCCAAAACACACAGACACTCGGAAATGCCAATGTTAAAATTTTAAAGAAGCGATATGCTTAATCACCAAAACGGCTTTGCTCAGGTCCACCTAGAAATGGTTCCACTATTGATGTCTTCCGTCTTCCTCCAGCCACAGTAGTGGATCGTAGTAAGGCCTTCCATTGAGCAAGTTTTGTAGTCAATTGACTACAAAAAAAGTTACTGGCCTATATCTCTCTTAGTTTCCAGTTACACTGACCCAAACTGTAGGCCTACTGTAGGCTACATAGCTTAACATATAATAGGCCTATAAACCAATTAACATTGAAATAAAGGCGAAGCCTTGCTGTATAATTATATGATATGATTAATTGCTTGCGAAATTTCTGTTCAGCTTAAAATGGCCGCCGAACCAGAATCTCGGGGTGTCATCATGTCATGTCACTCGAAAATACAGAAAAACTGTTCGGTACCGGTATAATTAGATTATGATTTCAGTGTTCCACTCTTCACTATTTGTAACATAATTACTTATTACCATGCAAACTGTGATGATATATGTGTTGAAAATTTTGCAATTGAACCTAATTTTACTTGCTCAAAGCCTCGAATAGTGTATCAATGCATTTGCAGCCGGCACGGCTAAAAATTGAAGCTAAATTCCTCCTAGGCCCTATGGTATGGGGTGCGGGGCGAAGTAGAACAAATCCAGGGCCTCCCACAATTTGGGTTCAGTACAAGATAAAAGGTTTTTTGTTTAACTCTGCCTGAATGCACTAAATCGAAAGCAGTTTCAAAATTTTCTGAATCAGTTTAATTTATTAGCAAAACATTTATTTCTGAGAAATAAATTACGTTAAATGGGGAGACATTCAGCTCTTAATAAACAGAGTTACCTCCCTTGGTTTATTAGAGTAATCTCCCTTTTATGACAACGTTACAGCTGTAAAATTGTAAATAAGAAACTGATTTTTGACATGATTTAATTAAATGAACTAGAGCAGAAGAAAATGTCGGATAGAAAAGCGACCAGAAAACTTTCAGCTGATGGTGGGGTTCGGAAAAGAAAACTGACAAGCCGAATAAAGTTAGAACTAAGTGAGAAACTTGGAGGCGGTGATGCACGTGATGCCGATGGTGATTCCATGACGATCAGTACTGATGATAAAGGAAGAAGTTTAGATAAACAACTGGCTCCTGGTAGTTATTGGTTGACTAGAATAGTCTTGTTGAGATATCTAGGTTTTATATATTGTAAGTATTGCAAGTGATGGAAGCTCGATCTACCCAAATCTACCCAAATCCACTGTTAATTCAACCTGTCACTAAAAGTATTATTTTTAAATTAATGGATTCGGTACCATTCTTTATTTATGCCAAATTGTCATTTTTAATTTAAAATGGTAATGTTTTTATTTCTAAATGTGATTTCCATATAGAACTTCCAAGCTTGGTTAGATATCGCTCTTTGAGGGAGGGGCGTGATAGTCAGAACAGTTTTCACTGAGCAAAAACTTTCACATTTTTCTACAGAACATCGACTGATGATACATGTATATAGCTCATGTAGGAATTAGCATTCACATAAAAAGTTCTATAGCCTATGTTTTGGTTTAACATTTTGGCTAGCAAGTAACAAACATAGTCTTTATCATGCATACATTATGCAAAAGCTAAATCTGCCTATTGCAGGTCTTTCTCATCAGGCCTGAAATGTTATCTAAATTATTAATTCGACATTAATTAACTTATCCAGACCATAATCAACTCTCGATGTCAACACTAGCCTGCGATATTTACTGGATTAGGATCCCATTTGCTGCTCAACTTTCATTCATGATTTAATCAATGAAATGGATAATCGAGACTATGTTTTTTATCGTCATGGTGATCGAGGCTAGGCCGAAAATTCAAATCTTAAGTGCATCAGGATGTTAAATGTTATTTGTTTTCTTCAGGGGACAAAATAACTTTAGAATAATATTGATAAACATCGAATAACTATTTAGTTTGAATGGATTACTTCTAATTCAACTTAATATTACAGTTGTAGCTTTTCTGGTTGCTTTACATCAGAATAAACCGTTATTAGGATCGAGGGGACTTCTACCAGCGGATAAAGTTCTAGACAACATCAAAACGAGAACCAATGGGGATCCATGGATTATGGTTAACCACGTTCCTACTATCCTGTGGTGGTTTGATTATCAGAATAATCTTGATGTTTTATTGGATGGTTTAGCGTACTCAGGAATTATTCTGTCCGTGTTTTTAATGATTCGTGGTGCAGCTAACTGGTTTATCATGGCAGCTTTATGGATCTTGTATCATTCTATTGTAAATATTGGACAAAGATGGTGAGTTAATCAAATAGGCTAGAACAATATTTATAATCCAAAAAATTTATCTTTTATAATACCCACTGAATGCCCCCTGATCAAGTGGCATGGTTTCGAGTTAACCCAGGGACCCGGAAAAAACCCACACGGTTGGACAGGTGACCCTACTCTTTGTCACGTACAACATGGGAATCGAAACCATGCCAGTTGACTCAAGGCGCGCAAGTTCTAACCATTCAGCCATCCCCCACCCCATCCCCCTTCTACAAAAATTAATAGGACAACAACACACATTACAGAGATCTGGTAGTAGGACAACGGAATACAGTAGTATTTTATAAAAGTCATCACTATAAGAGTTAGTATGATAATGATGAGAGTTTAGTGATTCTATAAAAGTTGGTACGATAATGATGAGAGTTTAGTGATTCTATAAGAGTTGGTACGATAATGATGAGAGTTTAGTGATTCTATAAAAGTTGGTACGATAATGATGAGAGTTTAGTGATTCTATAAAAGTTGGTATGATAATGATGAGAGTTTAGTGATTCTATAAAAGTTGGTACGATAATGATGAGAGTTTAGTGATTCTATAAGAGTTGGTACGATAATGATGAGAATTTAGTGATTCTATAAAAGTTGGTATGATATTGATGAGAGTTTAGTGATTCTATAAGAGTTGGTACGATAATGATGAGAGTTTAGTGATTCTATAAAAGTTGGTATGATAATGATGAGAGTTTAGTGATTCTATAAATTAAATTCACTACTTGTACTAGTATACATTTGATAATTTTACTTCAATAAAATAATTTTGCCTCTGTTTTATTTCATTTTTCAGGTATTCTTTTGGTGAGTAGCTTTCTGATTGTTTTGCTAATTTGTTCTAGCAATTGGTGTCGGAAACTAGTATGTGATCCCCATGTTATTTATTTGTGGTGCTTGTCTGGCCCCGCGTTCACAAAGCATTCTCAGACTTAAGTTAAGAATTTACTCAAAAGTGTTCGCCTTATTTTAACTAAAATATAGCCCTTATTAAAACTTTTGTTGTTTTAATGTATCAAATACATCAATAAGAAACTATGCGCAATGTTTTATGTTTCTAGATCAAAGATATTTCTTATAAGCAGTGATTGAAAGTTGAGTAAATTCATAACTTGTCTTACCGGTAAATCTGAGAATGCTTTGTGAACTTGCGGCCTGATATTTATTATTAAAGTTGTACAGCATTGAATTGTCGATGATGTATAAATTACTTATTATTCTGTAACTGAGAACAAACAGAGATTCTCTGTAAACAAACAGTCCCCATGATACGACCCTACCACAGACAGAGATTCTCTGTAAACAAACAGTCCCCATGATACGACACTACCACAGACAGATTCTCAGTAAACAAACAGTCCCCATGATACGACACTACCACAGACAGAGGTTGTCTGTAAACAAACAGGCCCCATGATACAACACTACCCCTACCACTGTATGTTTTCTTCACAGGTTGGGTACGACACTGCCCCTACCACTGTATGTTTTCTTCACAGGTTGGGTACGACACTGCCCCTACCACTGTATGTTTTCCTCACAGGTTGGGATGCCCAGTTATTAAAAGCTGGGTTTCTAGCGATATTTTTTTTATGAACAGGTTGGGAATCTCAGTTATTAGAGACGGGATTTCTAGCGATATTTTTATGTCCTGTGTGGAATTTATCATCTGTACCACGACACACTCCAACGTCTAGTGTTACCATATATGGTTATAGATGGCTCATCTTTCGTATCATGTTAGGAGCTGTAAGTTTTTCATATTCTATATCACCCATTATTGGATAATTAAAGAGGGATAAACCTACTCGATAGGGTGATCAATGTTAACAGTTTATTCTACTCTAAATCTACTTCAAATGGTTATTGTAACTACCAGTGGATATTCTCCAGGGTTGGATTCAATCAGATCAAAAATATTTTATGGGTGGGCCTGGCTTGTTTATATCTTCATATCTTTGTAAATACTGTTCCATTTTGGGATTGATATTCACATGATTCATAATCCCTCAAATCACCATATCCCTGAAGCAATGGCCCGTGAATCACCGACTTTGAGGTAAATGCAAGTCAAAAAGGTTTTTAAAGTGATTTTCTATCTTGAAATGTTTGTCTGGTCCTCCTTCAAGAATTGTAATGATAAAAGTAACTAGACGTAATTTAGACAGAAAAAATAAGAGTAGCAGAAAAATTGACAGAAATGTGTTTCAGCATCTTGGAGTTTTTTAGCTCTAGGCAATTGAAGAAACCTTTCTTTGGGTTCGATCCACAGTTGATGATCTACAGATGTCTGTATTTCATTACATTAGCCCCAAGTCAGTCTTCCTGGTAGACCAGTACCCTATCTCTCGACAAACAAAATCTAGCCCCATCCCTTTATTAATCAGAAACCCACATCCCAAATACACAATCCTAATTTTATATTCTGTTCCTACAACAAACATTGAAACATGTTTTTGTTGGGTTTTTTTCAGGGTTTAATAAAGATTCGAGGTGATCAATGTTGGAGAGATTTAACCTGTATGAATTACCATTATGAAGTAAGTATTAAATACAGCACACTAGATTTACAGCACACCAGATCTACAGCACACCAGATTTACAGCACACTAGATTTACAGCACATTAGATTTACAGCACACCAGATTTACAGCACACCAGATTTACAGCACACCAGATTTACAACACACTAGTATAACAGTGCACTAGATTTACAGCACTCGAGATTTACAGCACACTAGATTTACAGCACACTACATTAACAGCACACTACATTTACAGCACACTAGATTTACAGCACATCAGATTTACAGCACACCAGATTTACAGCACACCAGATTTACAGCACACTAGATTTACAGCACACCAGATTTACAGCACACTAGATTTACAGCACACCAGATTTACAGCACACTAGATTTACAGCACACCAGATTTACAGCACACTAGATTTACAGCACACCAGATTTACAGCACACTAGATTTACAGCACACCAGATTTACAGCACACTAGATTTACAGCACACTAGATTTACAGCACACTAGATTTACAGCACACTAGATTTACAGCACACTAGATTTACAGCACACCAGATTCACAGCACACCAGATTTACAGCACACCAGATTTACAGTACACTAGATTTACAGCACACCAGATTTACAGCACACCAGATTTACAGCACACTAGATTTACAGCACACCAGATTTACAGCACACTAGATTTACAGCACACCAGATTCACAGCACACTAGATTTACAGCACACCAGATTTACAGCACACCAGATTTACAGCACACCAGATTTACAGCACACCAGATTTACAGCACACTAGATTTACAGCACACCAGATTTACAGCACACTAGATTTACAGCACACTAGATTTACAGCACACCAGATTTACAGCACACCAGATTTACAGCACACCAGATTTACAGCACACTAGATTTACAGCACACCAGATTTACAGCACACCAGATTTACAGCACAGCTTTATTAGTTTCAAGGGTTCTTTAAAGGGACACGGTTCTATGGTATACAATTCCTGTTGATTACTAGTCATTGTTTGATAAAGAATCCTGGTTATTATGTCGCTTAGTAATAAAAAGTAATTTTATTCCATAGAATTGTGTCGTGTAAAATGTAAAATCATAAATTTTAACACATTAATTAATATACACTTATCTATATTTCCTTAATTGTACAGTAGTTCTTATCAATTATTTGACAGCTTAAATTATCACTTAAAGGCTCAATACCACTCTTGTTGTAACTGAATAATATGTCCCAATCTTTATTCTGGTCAACAAATTGTACTATTTTACAATATTCCAATTAATTGATGATACAAATTTCATCTTAACACACCTAATTTAAAAAATTGAAAAAATTCAACTAAATGATTTGAAAAGCCTGACGTAAAGCTTTTCAAATGTGACTTGGATTTAAATATATTTTTGAACCCTTTGGACAAGTAAAATAGGATTTAATGGATAATTTACACAACAGGTAGGTCACTAACACATCTAGTACTTTGAATAAGGCTATTTTTTATTTTCTGGAGCTGTCAAGCCAGCAAGAGTGTTATTGCCCCTTTAAGCAACTAAGTCGTGTTTTAAAGTATTTACTGAAACATAAATTACTACATGTTCATTTAAATTATATTTTAACACTCAACAATTATTGAAATGTTTATTATTTTGTTTCAGGTGGATCCCGTTCCAAATCTAACCCTAATCCTGTTCATTATTTTCTTTCAGACGCAGCCCATTCCAAATCCAATGAGTTATTATATGCACCAATCACCAGAGTTCTTTCATAAATTTGAAACGTTATCCAATCATTTTATAGAGCTTATTGTTCCGTTTACCTTATTTTTAACGCGTAGAATTGTGATGATAGGTGGTAGTTTACAGATTCTATTTCAGGTAAGTTTTTATACGCCCAGATTGAAATGTGGTCGTATATTGTCGTCGCCCCCGTCCGTCCGTCCGTCCGTCCGGCGTCCACAATTGCTTGTGGACGCTCTAGAGGCTAAAGTTAATATCTGATTGACTTTAAATTTATACACAGTGTTTAAGGTCTTGAGACGAAGAAGCCTATTGATTTTCAGCAATTTCCGATAATTTCTGCCAGAGTTATGGCCCTTGATCACTTCAAAAAATCTTGTGGACGCTCTAGAGGCCAAAGTTAATATCCAATTGACCTTAAATTTATACACAGTGTTTGAGGTCATGAGACGAAGAAGCCTATTGATTTTCAACGATTTCCGATAATTACTGCCAAAGATTGATACACAGAGTTTAAGATCTTGAGACAAACAAGTATATTGATTTTCAATGAATTTTTATGACTTGAACAGTTAAATCTATGATATTAAAAGCTTTCCATACAAAACGTTAGCATGGGGCAGAACTTTATAAAAACCAAACAAATTCTAATAGTTTTCTGATAATTACTTCGTGAGTTGTTGCTCTTAATCAGATTTTAGTGTATTATAAATGTTTTCATTACCGAAAAAAGTAAAAATATGCGACAACCCTTGTTGACTGCCTGGACGATTTAGTTGCTGTGGGCGTATGTTTCGTTGCCTGGCAACCTATCTTTATATTAACCAGGAACTGTACATGACGTCACTGCCGCCATCTTGGAATTATGACATCATATCAAAACTTGAAGTCTGTCAATCAGTGCGCAATTGTCCAAGGAACAGACCGACCCAATTTAGGGTTAAATAAAATAGGTTATAATCCAATCCTAACTGTACTGTCAAATTAGTTCAGAAAACATCAAGTTTTTCTGGGGGGTTGGGTGGCCGAATGTGCGTGTTGCACCATTAGGTCTGTCATGGGGTCAAATGGGTTGGTTTTGATTCCCTGCTTGTATGTCAGAAAGAGTTAGGGTTGCCTGTCCAACCTCGTGGGTTTTCTCTGGGTGCTACAACTACGCGCAAGCAAATTATTGAAATATAATTGAACCATATGTTAGTCCCGAAATGACCAAGTCTGTGTTGAGTGGATGTTAAAGCCTCGCTCTCTCTCTATCTCTCTCTCAAATCTTTCCTGGCTTAATCCATGCCTAACTGCAAATTGAAAGATATGCATATTCTACATTGAAATGATTTAGACCACTGTACCTGGACATTATTTACAAGTATGTTTCTATGGTTATTTTACAGGTAGTTTTAATAATCAGTGGTAATTTAAGTTTTTTAAACTGGTTAACGATTTTACCAAGTTTAGCTTGTTTTGATGATCAGAGTTTATCGTGGATGTTCTCTAACGGTAAAGACTCAGTCAAACATCAGGTTGTTAATATAGAAATGACAAGAAGAGTAAAGAAACCACAACCTAATGTTGGTAGGTCGTATTATAATTAAAATACAGATGTAACGTCTTCTTTTGATCCCGTCTTCATTAGCCCAGTCAGTGCAGAAAAGTAGGACTTTAAATCCCAGTTCATTTTAAAGGACAGCTGTCTAGTCGTTTGGATGGGATGAAAACACAAGGTCCTGTGTACACATTGGCGTGCACGTAAAAGATCCATGATATAAGAGTAGGCCGTAGTGCCGCTGTCCGGGCAAAATTTCCTTCATAGCACACTGTATGGCGTATGCCCGTCTTCATTAGCCCAGTCGGAGCAGAACAGTAGGACGTTAAACCCCATTTCATTTCATTTTATTTCATCCTTTGATGTTGGTGTACCATTATTCAATGTGCGTGCTATATCATAAGGCCTGTCATTGAGTCAACTGGCGTGGGTTCGATTCCCTGATCGTATGTGACAAGGACTAGGGTTGCCTGTCCAACCTCGTGGGTTTTCTCCGGGTCCTCCGGTTTCCTCCCACTGCTAAAGACCAATACGCGCAAGCGTATTATTGAAATAAAAAATTAAAACCATATGTTATTCTCGAAATGACTGGATGTTAGCCCCGGAGGAGAAGAAAAGTAGGACGTTAAACCCTATATGATTTTATATTTCAGGTAATTATATGCGAAATGTGTTTAATATTAGTCTAGGTATATTAATAGTATATTTAAGTATACCGGTCGTACAGAATCTTTTCTCATCACGACAAGCTATGAACTCATCGTTCGATCCTTTACGACTTGTTAATACATATGGTGCTTTTGGCAGGTAATGAATATTTAATATAACTACTGTACAAAACACACTTTATGTAGATATAATAGGTAGCTTATTAATCAGGATTTTTAAATACTTATGTTGTCTGCTGTCTCTACATGCATCATCATTTGATCCAGTAGCTACACAGATCTTCCACCCTGTCCTACCTCTGATACTCTCTCCACCGGAATTGTTTAATCCAGTAGGTACACAGATTACCGACCTGTCCTACCTTAGCTAATCTCTCCACTGGAATCGTTTAATCCAGTAGCTACACACATCTACATACCTGTCCTACCTCTGTTACTCTGTCCACCAGAATCGTGTAATCCAGTAGATACACACATCTACCGACCTGTCCTACCTCTGTTACTCTGTCCACCGGAATCGTGTAATCCAGTAGATACACACATCTACATACCTGTCCTACCTCTGTTACTCTGTCCACCGGAATCGTGTAATCCAGTAGATACACACATCTACCGACCTGTCCTACCTCTGTTACTCTGTCCACCGGAATCGTGTAATCCAGTACCTACACTATCTTAAGGGTGTGTTGTCATTTCCCCTAGTATATTTCTAATGATAGGTTTATTCGTAATCAGCCAAGAGCCGTACTTGATAAATACTATTGGGGTAAATCTTGCCAGGGCAGCAGTATCTTATTTTCAAGCACAAACCAGTAATTGGTTTCCATAGAAAACACCTGTCTTTAATTGTGATTACATGTAATAAAGATTAGTTATAGCTCCGTATACCTTTAATTGTGATTTCAGTGTTACTAAGAAACGAACAGAGGTAATATTTCAGGGCACTATGTCCAAGGATCCTATGTCTCCGTCTGCCATCTGGGAGGAATATGAGTTTAAATGTAAACCAGGTAACGTGACACGGACACCATGTGTAATATCACCGTATCATTATAGGCTTGACTGGCTACTCTGGTTTGTTCCATTTCATAAAGTAAGTATACAAGAATGGTATTATGTAGTATTATACGAGGGGGGCGGTTGACTGGCTACTCTGGTTTGTTCCATTTCATAAAGTAAGTATATATAATATAGTATTATGTAGTATTATACGAGGGGGGGGGGGTTGACTGGCTACTCTGGTTTGTTCCATTTCATAAAGTAAGTATATATAATATAGTATTATGTAGTATTATACGAGGGGGGGGGGTGGGTGACTGGCTACTCTGGTTTGTTCCATTTCATAAAGTAAGTATATATAATATGGGATTATTTACTATTATACGAGGGGGGGGGGGGTGACTGGCTGCTCTGGTTTGTTCCATTTCATAAAGTAAGTATACAAATATAGTATTATGTAGTATTATACGAGGGGGGGGGGGGGTGACTGGCTACTCTGGTTTGTCCCATTTCATAAAGTAAGTATATATAATATAGTATTATGTAGTATCATACGAGGGGGGGGGGGGGGTGACTGGCTACTCTGGTTTGTTCCAATTCATAAAGTAAGTATATAAATATAGGATTATGTAGGGGAGGGGGGGGTCACTGAATTTAATTGACCGAAAGGTTTTATATCATCAGAATGAAGAGTCCAGGGGAAGAACGATCTAAGTCACATTTTTGTCTTTTCGCATAAAAGGCAAAATAGACTTTTAGACGAGAATGCTTGACGCGAACAGAACAACGAGTGGGTTTAATTACAACTTCAAAATGATGTTAAATACGATTCATAATTACCAGTACAACTGACTTACACTTTTCAACCAAATTAAGATCAAATAAAGGGTACGATGAACGTATTTGTCCGGGAGGCCATTTCAGAAGGGCCTTGGTTCGATGTAACTCCGGTCGTTTTTACCTGAAATTGATTGTTCCACAGAAAGCTTATACAATTTGCTATTAGATGGCGCCATTAACTGGGGTTCGTTGAAAAAGTGATTTAGATCGTTCTTCCCAGGGCTCTTCATATAATATTATGTAGTTTTGTACGGTGAGGTTGTTGGGCTGGTGTCACTGAATTTAACCAACCTATTGAGAAGAGTGGTGGGTTATTAGATCACTGTACCACTATAGATTATGTATTTTTGTACAGGGTGTGAGGGGAGGGTGTAGGCTGGGTGCTACTGATTTTAATCTACCTAATCAATATGTATTGCTCTTAATCGTTTTAAAGGTCACCGGAAAAGCATCAATTTTTTTTTAAATAATGCAAGTAATTGTGTCAACATATCCTTTCCATAAGTATAACCCGAACCTGAATGTCAATATTACCTGCAACAGGTAAATTTCAACATTTCCGTCGTTCTCCGTGGGTAGTCGTAACTTTCCGTCAATAAGCAATCCGTGACGTCATTTTAGTCCTTCTGCACATAGAAATATAGACTAGAATATGAGCAGAAGGACTAAAATGACGTCACAGATTGTTTATTTACGGAAAGTTACGACTACTCATGGAGAATGGGGGAAATTACTAATGTTGAAATTTACCTGTTGCAGGTAATATTGACATACGGGTTCGTGTTATACTTATGGAAAGGGTATGTTGGCATAATGAATTGCATTATTTAAAAAAATTATGGAACCTTTTCCGGTGACCTTTAAAAGCCAAATTTGTGTAATTAGTGATTGTTTTCCATAGAAACTGCAAAGTAGTCCAACGCATGATAATAATATGTAGTTATAGTCTAAAAAAATAATAAAAATTTTGCTCTTTCAGTCATTTGAGTATAATCCATGGATAGTTCATCTTGTTGTTAAACTACTAGCTAATGATGAAGATACCTTATCTTTAATACAATATAATCCTTTTATACATCAACCTCCCAGGTAAATATATGCATCAACCTCACAGGTAAATTTAATGTTCATCTGGAGGATTGGGTGGACGAAGAAAAGATCATAAGGTCTGTCATTGAGTCAAGAGGGTTTTTCTGCTCCCAAGATTGTACGAGACAAGGATTAGAGTTGACTGTCTAACCTCACGGTATCCCTCCCACTGCGAGCGAGCCAATTACTGACAGAAAATTTACCACATGTTAGTCCTGAAATGACCTAGTTTTTGTCTAATGGACGTTAAACCCTCTCTCTATATATTTATTCCTGTATCGACTGGCCTGTAAATAGAGAGAAATGGGGTTGAACAGCCACTAGTCATTTCGGGACTAACACATAGTTCAATTTTATTTCAATAATTCGATTGAGCGTAGTAGTGGGGGGAAACCGGTGGACCCAGAGAAAAACCACAAAGTTGGACAGGCGACCCTACTCCTTATCACATACAACCGGGGAATCGTCCTGTAAATAGACTCCAGACCTCTTCATGTATTAAATTAGGTTGAAGACTGAAGGAAGAAAATCCAGCACCAAAAATTGTTGACAATGCTTCACACCAAGAATCTATTTTTCCAATATAATCACCATTAAAATTCTAACATCCATCTTCTTTTATTCTTTAGGTTCATACGAATAGAAAATTATCGTTACATATTCACAAAGATTGGTAGTCCTGAAGCCAAATCTGGAGCCTGGTGGAAACGTAAACATACAGGGAGCTATCTACAGCCGTTATCATTCGAGTCTGTTCGAGATTTTATGAAAAATATGCAGTGGGAAATGCCTAAAGTTGGTAAAAATAAGAAAACAGGAAAGATTTAGATATTGTTGTTAAACATACACTATGCAAGAGCTAAATCTGCCTATTGCAGGGCCCTTATTCACGAAAAATTAAACTAAGTTACAACCGAAATTTTAAGAAATACTGCAACTTCATTGGATATATGCAAATTGATTTTACTGGTCAGCCAATCGAATTGCAGTATTTCTTAAAATTTCGATTGTATCATAGTTTAAGTTTTCGTGAATAAGGGCCCAGGTCATTCTTTAGGCCTGAAATGTTCTAGACATTTATTAACAAAGCAAGACCATAATCGACTCTCGATGGCATCGGATACTTGAGATTTTAACTAGATTAAAATGGTTCTCCATTTATAAATTTAATTTAAAAATGGGAAAGCGAGGCTGAGTCCTGATTATACCAGTGCCCTGGTTACCACTGTGCACACATCATGTCAAAACTACAAACAGTGATAACTTGGCTGAGAATGAAGTAATCTGAATGAAATTTTCATAATTTTCTTTTTTCATCATCTAATTTTGAATTATTATAGCAAGAATGGCCAACTCTTTATTAAACTCTTAACTAATGTATCTTTAATAAAACATAAAATGTACTGATCTGAATTCATAAATATCATATTTTAAATAAATTTAGTATTATCCCATAAAATTATTTTTTATTTATGGTAAAGCATAGATCTTGTTTAATAATATTTATATTTAATATGATCGCATATACAATTATCTATTACATTTATTTATTTATGTTTGTATTCATTATCCATCTGGGGATCACGTGGCTAAGTGGGTAAGACGCTAGCTCGCTAGCCTGGAGGTCGGGTGTTCGATCCCTGCATTGGCCGAGAAAGTTCATCCAGATTTTCCGGCGTGGTTCCCCCTTGTCAGTGATGCAGGACGGAGGGCCTGACAAGGATAGCTGTCTAGTCCTTCGGATGAGACGAAAAACCGAGGTCCCGTGTATACATTGGAATGCACGTAAAAGATCCCTTGGCAGTTGGAATTCGATATAAGAGTAGGCCGTAGTGCCGCTGTCCGGGCAAAATTTCCTTCATAGCACACTGTATGGCGTATGCCCGTCTTCATTAGCCCAGGTTAGGAGCAGAACAGTAGGACGTTAAACTCCATTTCATTTCATTACATTTCTTTATCCATCTAATGATTGAAATGATAAATGTCAGGAGAAGTAAACAACAGCTCCCCTAAAATTTAAGATGAGACAGGAATTCGTTCTTCTAGAAAAAGTTGCACATATCTGTCGTCTTGTATTACTCAAAACCTTGGCTGTATGAATGTTTTATGACAAGGTTGTTCAATGTTAATACGTTTCTTAATTAAATCCATGCAAACAGAGCTATTTTATAACATTAGGTGCTTAATAAAAAACTTTCCCTAAGTTTAATTTCAGGTGAGCCCTGGTTTCAATTACTGTGCATGTTGGTTATAAATGGGATTATTGTTGTTTATTTTGCTCAATTATCTACAGTGATAAACAAACAAACATGACCGGAAATCAATGAACGTGAATTACTTGGGTTGATTATAATGTGTATTGTATTATCAATGAAAGTGAATCACTTGGGTTGATTATAATGTATATTACTTTATCAATGAAAGTGAATCACTTGGGTTGATTATAATGTACTTTATCAATGAAAGTGAATCACTTGGGTTGATTATTATGTATACTAACTGTTTTATCATGTAATGTACTTTGTTTTAAAATTAATAAATTTGTTAAAATTTAAATTAATCATTATGTGAACTATCACCAGGAGTTATTAGCCTTTAATGTCCTACATGACCTCGGTTTTCATCACATCAGAACGACTAGGACTAGACATTTTTCTATGTCAGGTCCTCCGTCCTGCTTCACTACCAAGGGGAAACTATGCTGGAAAACCGTGATTACCTTTCTCGGCCCGGGGGTTGGTTGGCCGAATGGTTAACACTGTGCGCGTTACATCATAAGGTCTGTCATGGAGTCATGTGGCATAGTTTTGATTCCCCACTTGTACATGACAAGGAGTAGGGTCGTCTGTTCAACTCCGTGGGTTTACTCCGGGCCCTCTGTTTTCCTCCCACTGCTAAAGACTCCTACACGCAAGTGAATTAATGAAATAGAATTGAACTAGTGTTAGTCCCGCAATGACCTGGTTTGTGTCGTGTGGACGTCAAACCCCATCTCTCTCTCTCTCCCTCGTTTCTCGGCCAATACTGGGATTGATCCAGCACCTTTGCACCGAGCCACTGTGGCTCCCCTTTATGAAAGGAGTAATGAAATAACTTCAGTTATTTTCTACACATCTTAGAGAAATTCACCAATTTCTGACTCCAGGTTTGCGACAAACATTCGTTTTTCTATTGTAAAAACATTAAAATACTGAGAGAGAGAGAAAAATGGGGGTTAACATCCATTTCTCTGTGTCCTTACGTTTCCTCCCACAAAACCATATGTTAGTCCCGAAATGACCAAGTTTGTGTGGAGTGGACATTACACTCAATTTCTCTCCCTCCTCTTCTCTTCCCCCCCCCCCAGTAACTCAGCCCACTGCAGGGGTTCAAACCAAGGATATTCTATTTAAGAGCCCAGTTTCCCTGCTGATACAATAACAAATAAACAAATCAACAAGTATCTATATTATTTATTATGGACGGTCAGTGTCTAACATTAAAATAATTTCTCTAATAATAAAATATAAAGAATATGTTTACTCAATAATTGTCTTGTATGGACGGTTTAACAATTAAACAGGATGTCAAACAATGTTAATTTTTTAAACGGATTTCTTGATTAATCAGAATGTTTAAATAATTCTCGGGCTTTACTGTTTTATGGTGGACTACCCTACTCCTTCATGGGGAATCCCCTTTCTTAATATTCACAAGGTTCAAATGGTTGTAACTAGGGCTTCACTGTAGCACTGTTTTGAGGTGGAAAACCCTATTCCTGCAATATAATTCATGGGAATCCCCTTTCATGCTATTCACAAAGGTTCCAGTTTCACTATAATGCTGTATTGGAGCTTGACTCAGTTGGTTATAACAAGGGCTTCACTGACATGGACTAATGCACCTGAAACCCCTGCATGCTATTCACAAGGGTTACACTATAAAACTGCTGTATTTGGGGTCCATTCAAATGATTATATCTGCCTGACAGCGAGTTCCATATATAAAATATACAAGATATTGGCCATTATAAAAACCAATATCATGAAGGTGGGGTGCAATTTAATCAGAGCTACATTTCTACCGTGAATGAAAATGACAAGATAATCGTTGTAGTAACCTAGCCCTGATTAAAATACAGGAACTGTCTTCCATAGAATTGTTCAATTACTGAATGCTGTTTAAACAGTAATTAACAAGCCCCTCATATTTATTAAGATGGGCTTCGTCATCACAAGGTAGTTGGGTGGGATCTCACCAAAATCTGCCCTGTAGTAAATGATACTGGGTGAGAATGTCGTAAGGGAAAGTGAAAGTAAAGTTATAAATATATGATACTCGTAGGTGTATGATCCAGCATACATATTATCTTACAACAACAACCACCACAGAGTAATATTGAAACATTGCAGAAAAATATCTCCAACACTAAACACCAGAAAATGATGAAATCAGGTTTAAAACATGGATGCTTATTTGCCCGTGTATACAAGTAGGCAAACATCCGGCGAAGAATATACCCAATCAGACATCAAGATATTGTAATTTAACGTCCTATATTGTATATTCCTAGTTTTATATCTTAAACAAGTATTAACAAGCCTGGAAATAAAGCACCGGACACAGACAATGTCCGACACAAATGTCTGGTACTAATTCAGTAGTGCTAGATATTTTGTCAAGTACAACAAACAATAATTCCAGGGTCAGTGTAACAAAACTGTCACTTCAAACAATTTGCCTGTCAATTTTACAAACATATTTTGTGACAATATTTAACATTAGCTCTTACTCAAAATGATAATTTGGACCAACTCTGGTATCGAGTTAAACAACATTTATAATTTTTGTACAGATAACGATCAATCTACTAAAACATTGTAATTAATGAAACATTTTCAATGCTGACATCACATCTAATAACAATTAATAAATATCTTTACAAGAGCACATCTAATAATAACAAAACATTATGTGACAAGAATACAAAAACAAATAGTCAATAACATTTTTAGACAGATGAAATCTGATTTCCCATACGTGTAGCCTACTGTTAAAACCCAAACATTAGTTAAGTTAGATTGTAGAGGGATCAAACCACCTGTTCTTCAACGTGGCATTTATTGTGTTTTTTTGGAACAGGAACTGCTACTCATCTTGTGCTTGTTCTTGGGGTGACGCTCTTCGAAAACACCAACGGTTCTGTCAATTCAAGTCCGATTGACACGAAAATTGGCATGCTTCTTCTTTGAACAATTCTGCGTCGATTTTGTGAATTAGATTTTTGAATTTCATGCAACAACATGGTCAGTTCCCGGTCTATAGTACTATCCTACTTGTTTGAACAATAATCATTATTTACAGCTTCTAATATCTCATTTATTATCCTCTGACTAAAAGGAATGATTATTTATTATCTATACCTATTACAATTAAAAATCTAACTTGTAGAAAGAAAGTTATATTAACTAATGGTAGTGGTCTAAATCTAACTTGCAGAAAGAAAGTTATATTAACTAATGGTAGTGGTTTAAATCTAACTTGCAGAAAGAAAGTTATATTAACTAGTTCTAGTGGTCTAAATCCAACTTGTAGAAAGAAAGTTATATTAACTAATGGTAGTGGTCTGAATCCAACTTGTAGAAAGAAAGTTATATTAACTAATGGTAGTGGTCTGAATCCAACTTGTAGAAAGGGAGTTATATTAACTAACAGTAGTGGTCTGAATCCAACTTGTAGAAAGGGAGTTATATTAACTAACAGTAGTGGTCTGAATCCAACTTGTAGAAAGGGAGGTATATTAACTAACAGTAGTGGTCTAAATCCAACTTGTAGAAAGGGAGTTATATTAACTAACAGTAGTGGTCTAAATCCAACTTGTAGAAAGAAAGTTATATTAACTAACAGTAGAAAGAAAGTTAAATTAACCAGTTCTAGTGGTCTAAATCTGGTTATGTATCTGAGGGGAGGCAATTGGACATAATAGATGAAAAAAGCACCACTAATCACAGAATAGGCAAGAATATATTTTGGAATAAAGGTGCAATACAATAAATATAAGAACATCCATAATCAAATAATCACAAATATGGCAAGGTTGTTCATTACCTGAAATAGGGTGTTCAACGTCTTTCTATGACCGTGGGCCATTTAAATATTATTTTTACCATTGGATATAAAGCAAGGAACAAAGGGGATTTGGTCCAATCGTTAGACAGAAAGAAAAAGAAGGTTTTACATCATTTTGGGTTTAATATGATATATATTTTCAATACATCGACTGGGCACTGAGAGAAAAAGACGAGATCCAAAAATAATCCCAAGTTTAGATCTATATTTCGTTTCGTTTTTTATACTTTCGATGGCCTACACTACATGTAGATCTAACAAGTTATAGTGGGAGTTCACGTTATATGACATCAGGTACCAAGCAAGCGACATTTGACCCGATTACGTCAGTCATTCGATTAACCAATTAGCGACCGCCATGTATTTTTAATCTACTTTTGCTTTGTTTTGATTTCTATTGCCGCTAATGTCTACCCACAGTTCCGCGCAAAAAAGGTCAAACGCTCGATTCGACAGACCATTTGATTGGCTGACCCCTAATTTCAAGCAGAACACAAGTTAAATAACAACGCTTCCAGATCCAAGTGTAGTAAAGACAAGTAAAACGAAATTTTGAACTATAAAAACGAAACGAAATTGGATCTGTGTTTTAACCAGATTGAGAGGTGACCCAACTCTTTCTTGCAAAAAGGCCTGGGATGGAACAGTAGGATTTTTAAGTTACTGGTTGCAGATTTGACACTTATACTTTAGAGGTACTCAATTCTTAATTCCAGAAAGTTAAATCTAGTATCCCCTTTAAAATTCAAGCCTCTTGTTAACAAATTGTAAACGGAAGTAATAATTAAAGCTGGTGTGACAAATTGTCAATCAAGATGAGACTCAACAATATTGATGCGTGTAAGGAGAACGGTCGTAATGATGATATATCACACCAATATAATGAAAATTAATTCAGTAACAATTTTATCAAAAAAATCTAAAAATCAGAAGGAATTGCGTGAAGTTTTTGTTCGAAATATATTTGATCCTTTTTTATAATTTGACTTTTTAACATAAAGATACAGTGGCAGAGACAGATCAGATTCATGGCTTCTAATTAAATACACATTGATCTAGCCCTAGACGACAATGTATGTAGTGGTCTACTAATCTAAGTCTTAGAAGAAAACTGAGCAGAAATTCGCCCATGTATCTGTTATCACTCGTCACTTCAGTCAGTTATATAGAGGGATAACTCATGTTTTCCTTTTGAGTTCGTCACTTCCGTTTGTTGAAACCTTCATTACGCATCTATCGTAGCAATGATCTCTGTGATAAAATAATATTTGGAGCATGTTTAACCACTTCTATCACATATGTAATAAAGACTGACACCAATATTGTCCTTTAATATATGTTGATGTGACTACAATGTATGTAGGGGTCTTAGAAGAAAACTGATGTTCATATACAAAGCCTATAAAATTACATAAGGACTAAAAATATTTCATAAAACATAAAATTGGTGTTGTATCTTTGGTGAATATGTAGACAAGTGATGGATTCCCATTCCATAATAATGCGTAATTTTATGTAGATCATTAAATCTCTTGTTTCAAAACTTCTATGAATTAGTCCTGTGCAAGTCTAGTTTACAATGAAATATTTATGTACCCCATCTTACTACTTGTTGCTAGGTTACATCATGTTACATGTTGCTAGGTTACATCATGTTACATGTTGCTAGGTTACATCATGTTACATGTTGCTAGGTTACATCATGCTACATGTTGCTAGGTTGCGTCCTGTTACATGTTGCTAGGTTACATCATGCTACATGTTACTAGGTTACAAAGATTTTACAGACCAGTCATGTCGAGCCTTATTCCTTAAGTCACAAAATATGCAAAATTGAGCTCTTCAATAAAATTGGCCAAAAAAATAATCATTTGAATAAAAAAAATAAAGAGTCACTCCCTAATTTCCAGACAAAATGACATATTAGTCTTTCAATCATATTCTGTGTAAATTTGAGCTCTGAAAAAAACTAATTACAACCTTTTTGATTTGGGTTAAAATTACAACTGTTAGTTTAATTAAATTTCATATGTTGACTTTTTTTTCAAAAATTCTACATTTAAAATCTTAGTTCCTTAGATAAAGTCAAGGTTCAGATATTACAGTTTGAAGCCAAGGTTCAGATAAAGTCAAGGTTCAGATATTACAGTTTTAACCTAAAACAAAGAGATTTAGCTACTTTAAGTTTCCTAACGATATCGTTATTATGTTAAGATTTAATGTAGAATTGTATTTCGCTGTTATCGTAACCAGTTAAACATATGGCACATCCCTGAGGGTCAACAAAACATCCACCAACCAGCTGAAGATCTGTAACCATCTCGTGACATTTATAGGAGATCTAAAAAAACAAATAAAACATTAATTATAGCAGAAATGAAATGAAATGGGGTTTAACGTCCTACCGTTTTGCTCCGAACTGGGCTAATGAAGATGGGCATACACCATACAGTGTGCTATGAGGGAAATTTTGCCCTGACAGCGGCACTACGGCCTACTCTTATATCAAATTCCACCTGTCAAGAGATCTTTTACGACTAGACAGCTGTCCTTGTCAGGCCCTCCGTCCTGTATCACTGACAAGGGAGATCCACGGCGGAATAATTAATTATAGCAATCACTAATACATGTTAGCTAAAATTAAACATTAATTATAGCAATCACTAATACATGTTAGCTAAAATTAAAACATTAATTATAGCAATCACTAATTCATGTTAGCTAAAATTAAAACATTAATTACAGCAATCACTAATACAGGTTAGCTAAAATTAAAAACATTAATTATAGCAATCACTAATACATGTTAGCTAAAATTAAAACATTAATTATAGCAATCACTAATACAAGTTAGCTAAAATTAAAACATTATTTATAGCAATCACTAATACATGTTAGCTAACATAAAACATTAATTATAGCAATCACTAATACATGTTAGCTAAAATTAAAACATTAATTATAGCAATCACTAATACAAGTTAGCTAAAATTAAAACATTATTTATAGCAATCACTAATACATGTTAGCTAACATAAAACATTAATTATAGCAATCACTAATACATGTTAGCTAAAATTAAAACATTAATTATAGCAATCACTAATTCATGTTAGCTAACATAAAACATTAATTATAGCAATCACTTAAACATGTTAGCTAACATAAAACATTAATTAAAGCAATCGCTAATACATGTTAGCTAAAATTAAAACAATTATAGCAATCACTAATACATGTTAGCTTACATAAAACATTAATTATAGCAATCACTAATACATGTTAGCTCACATAAAACATTAATTATAGCAATCACTAATACATGTTAGCTAAAATTAAAACATTAATTATAGCAATCACTAATACATGTTAGCTAAAATTAAAAGTATATTTATCTGAAGCGATTATTTGGTGCCTAATATCTGCATATATTTGTCAAAAATAAAAAAAAATGTCTGGGAAAAATGGATAAATCTGTGAAGGAAAATGTCGGGTATTTGAAGGCATTGATGTACGAGTTAAAACAAGATCACGCCTTCTATTGAAGATGCAGGGCAGAAGAACATCAGCTGATTCACCAGCACAATGTAACACCAAATACTCATCTTACCTGAGGAATATAACAATTTTATCTTACCTGAGGAATATAACTATTTTACCTTACCTCAGGAATATAACTATTTTATCTTACCTGAGGAAGATTGCCCTCTTGTAATTGCCACACACGAAAAAATGAATCGTCGCTAACTGATAAGACCTGAAATATATTAGACACATGAATTAATACAGTGTACTTGTTGATTTCAAGCTGTCGGGAGTCAACTGCAAATCTTCAAAGATAGGGTTTCAAATTCTGATGATCCTAAAAGTTGTATCCCAATGATGTACATATCTGTTGGGTGAGCTTGTTTGCATACTGTACATGAGTTGTTTGTATGATGTGTGAGCTGGTTGTTTGTATGATGTGTGAGCTGGTTGTTTGTATGATGTGTGAGCTGGTTGTTTGTATGATGTGTGAGCTGGTTGTTTGTATAATGTGTGAGCTGGTTGTTTGTATGATGTGTGAGCTGGTTGTTTGTATGATGTTTGCTAGTTGTGTGTATGTTATGTACTGGCTGAGTGGATGCTATGTGAGGCCATTTAGTGTGTGATGACACTTTATGAAAAAGTCAATGAAAAATATTTTAGTTGGTATAAAATACTATATATTTAATACTTACTAAACCGGATTGAGTGGCTATATCAATTCCATTGATCATCCGAGCATGTGCTGTGACCTCTGCTCCTATTTTTCCCGAGGATGCGCTGTAAACACGTATATGTCCTGATCCGTAACCTCCGACAATAATTCCCTTCCATAATCGCACACTTGTACATGGTACACTAAAATATATATATTATATTAATAACAATAATTCATTTCCATAATCGTACACTTATACATGATACTCTAAAAAATATATATTGTTTAAATATTAATTCATATTACAATAGTAAGTGCAGGATGACCTCATATATGTACACTCAAAATATACATTCTTTAAATATTAATGTGGAGCCACAGTTGATAAGTGGGTAACATGCTGGCTTGCTAGCCGGGAGGTCGCGAGTTTGATCCCTGAATTAGCCGAGTAAGTTTATCAGGATTTTCCGGCGTGGTTTCCTCGTGTCAGTGGTGCAGGACGAAGGGCCCGACAAGGACAACTGTCTAGTCATTCGGATGGTATGAAAAAAACAAAAGATCCATTGGCAGTTGGAATTCAATATAAGAGTAGGTCGTAGTGCCGCTGTCCGGGCGAAATTTTCCTCATTGCACACTGTATGGCGTATGCCCGTCTTCATTAGTCCAGTTTGGAGCAGAACAGTAGGACATTAAACCTCAAATCATTTCATTCTTTTAAATATTATGGCACCCGGTACAAGTATTTTTTTTAAAGGCTGTTGTGTGTGTGATTTAAAATCTCTAAATCATATTCTTTGAAAAGAGAGGAAAATGGGCCTTAATGTCATCTGAACACAAACTAGGTCATTTCAGGAATCAAAGAGAGTGTTTAACATCTACTCAAAGAAAAACCTGGGGCCTGTTTCACGAAATTTTAACTAAGATAAAATCCAAATTTTAGTAATTTGATTCGATAATATTAGACTGATTTTAGTGCTTAGCCAATCAAAATTGAAGTATCTTCTAGAATTTGGATTTTATCTTTAGTTAAGATTTCGAGAAACTGGGCCAAGGTCATTTCAAGACGAACATTTGCTATCAGGTCGTGAGATAGAGAGAGAAATGGGAATTAATGTCAACGCGACACAAACTAGGTCATTTCGGGACTAACATATGGTTTAATTTTATTTCAATAATTCGCTTGCGCGTAGGGGTCTTTAGCAGTGGGAGGAAACCAGAGGACCCGGAGAAAACCCACGAGGTTGGACAGGCGACCTTACTCCTTGTCACGTACAACCGGGGATTCGAAACCACGCCAGTCGACTCAATGATAGTCTTTATGATACAGCGCGCACACGCTAACCATTCAGCCATCCACCCCCCCCAGCTATCAGGTCGTAGGTGTCTTTCTGAGAAAACTTATGCGATTAAAGAGGTGACCCTACTGCTTGTCATATACAAATATGGTATCGGAACCACGCCACTTTATAATTACTTGTCAGAAAAAAACCCATCTTACCCTGAACCAGCTATTTTATGAGATTGTTGAAACTGTTGGCCTAGAAATTTCCACACGACTATATTTCCCTGGTCATCACTGCTAACTAATATATTCTTCTCTGATGCTAAATCACAGATAGATGACGAATATGCTCCTGAAACAAGATCAATGTTGAGGTAAGACAAAACATCTGAACAACAGTCGTGGATATATACCCTGTAGATATCCCTGATAAATTATAAACTAACTCTTCTATGATTTCCATAGGGGTCTTTAGCAGTGGGAGGAAACCGCAGGACCCAGAGAAAACCCACCAGGTTGGAAAGGTGACCCTACTCCTTGTCACGTACAACCATGGATTTGAAACCACACCAGTTGACTCAATGTCAGGCCTTATGATATAGCGCGCACGTTCAAACCATTCGGCCATCCAACTCCCATCCAATGTTGGATATTCTGGAGGCCAATAGTTTTAGTTTAGTTGAACATGGTTTCATTCCATGATTGATCAAGTGGAACATAAAAACAAGCGACATTTCGTTATTTAGAATTATATATATAATCACAAGTCACATTTGTATCGAGAATTATATAAACTTATCTCACCTTTTAACGTGTCTAAATGATTGATGTTTGTAGATTTGGGTGGAATGTTAAAAATTAAAATATGTCCGTCTTCTGTCCCTGAAAGAATACAATTATTCAACCATCTATCAACTGGGGGCAAAAAAAATTATCTTAAATCAACATGAAGCTGGTGTACAATATACATCTAAATTATCTCCCTTATTTATACGGATTCAGACTAGTAATCTCTTTCCCCTGATCTCAAGGGGGATGCTCGATTCTCAGTCCAGAACGTCCAGAATTGCATTCAAGTCCTCCCATAGGTTTTTCACTCCTAACAACGGAAGTGGTGTGAGTAGAATCGTGACGTAATTAAACACAACGAATATGTTTTGGCTGCATGGTTGGTTGAGATATTAAATTTTCTGCCTTACCTACACAAATTAAATTATCTCCCTTACTTACACCGATTACCTACACGGATTAAATTATCTCCCTTACTTACACAGATTAAATTATCTCCCTTATCTACACGGATCAAATTATCTCCCTTACCTACACAGATTAAATTATCTCCCTTACTTACACAGATGAAATTATCCCCCTTACCTACACAGATTAAATTATCTCCCTTACCTACACAGCTTAAATTATCTCCCTTACTTACACAGATTAAATTATCTCCCTTACATACACAGATTAAATTATCTCCCTTACCTACACAGATCAAATTATCTCCCATATCAGTTATGCCTCGAGCAAAACAACTTTTATCTACAAAATAAAACAAATTCATATAAAGTATTTTACAATCTTTTAGGCCTGAATAAAACTTTACAATCTTTCAACGATATTAGAACTTGAATATACAATACAAAATACTGTCTGTATACTATTTATATATGTCCATTCAACATAAACTAAGTCATTTTGGGACTAGCACACGATTCAATTTCATTTCAGTAATACCCTTGTACATAAGGGTCTTGAGACGTGAGAAGTGAGAGGAAAGTGGAGGACCTGGAGAAAATATCATATCGGACAGACAACCACTTAAATCAGTGATAGACCTTATGACCTATAATGCATGCTTAGACACGTAAGTCGGGGGGTTGGATGGCTGAATGGTTAGAGTGCGCGCGCTGTATCAAAAAGTCGACTGGCGTGGTTTCGAATCAAGTTTCCTCCCACTACTAAAGACCCCTATGCGCAAGCGAATTATGTAAATAAAATTAAACCATGTTAGTCCCGAAATGACCTAGTTTGTGTCGAGTTGACGTTAAACCCCATTTCTCTCTCTCTCTCTAGACACGTAAGTCAACTACCGTAATATGTTTGATATGATAAAGAGTTTTATATTTGGGTGTTTTCAAAATGATTTACAACACTCAATTATAAAAAAAGATTACTTTTCTCTAATTATTATTTAATCAACAGTGTATCAGATGCTAACGATTAAAGTTTATAAAATATTACCTGGATCTTGACTTAAAGCAAGTGCTAACGATTAAAGTTTATAAAATATTTATGAATGTTACCTGTATCTTGACTTAAAGCAGGTGCTAAAGGTTAAAGTTTATAAAATATTACCTGGATCTTGACTTAAAGCAGGTGCTAACGATTAAAGTTTATAAAATATTACCTGGATCTTGACTTAAAGCATGCCAATAAATCATCACAGATCCGTCACCATCAAACATCTGTAACATAAAATATATAAAATAATCACCATCAACACGACCTAGGTCAAATTGAGACTAACATACGGTTCAATTTTATTTCAATAATTTGCTTGTGCTAGAGGTCTTTAGCAGTGGGAGGAAACCAGAGAACCTGGAGAAAACCCACAAGGTTGGACAGGCGACCCCACTCCTTGCAATGTATGTACAAGCAAGAAATCGAAATCGCGCCAGTTGACTCAATGACAGACCTTATGATCTAATGTGCGAATGTTAAACCATTCGGCCATACAACTCGCCTTTGCAATTAGAAATCCCTGAAATGGCAATCAGAAATATTTGTACCTGTATTCCTCTTTGTGACGTTAAAACTAAAACAGTTCTCTGAGGTAAAACAATCCATTTGGCCTGAAATTAAACAACAAAAAACATTATTTTTGAAAGGATACACGTCTTCTGATGTGTAAGCTTTGTGATGTCACTTTCGGAATATGTCTATCATTATGACAATTATCTGGTCGTTGAGAGAAATGAAATGAAATGAAATGGGGTTTAACATCCTACTGTTCTGCACCGACTGGGCTAATGAAGACGAACATACGCAATGTAGTGTGCTATGAGGGACCACACATCGGCGCCACACCCTATAGGCCTACTCTTGCTTAGAATTCCAATCATCAGGTTCTTTTACGTGCATGCTGCACGATAATGTGTAGGCCTATACAGGATGCTGTTTGTTGCCAGGCCCTCGATTGGACACTAATGACAAAGGAAACCAGGCCTGAGAATTCTGAGGAATTGTTTGGTCAAATTAAAGCTGGAAGCGAAACGAGGCCTTGACTGTTGACATGATTGTTAACGAGTCAAAGACGGCAGCACCCTACGGAAATGAAATGAAGTATAACGTCCTACTGTTCTGCTCCTGTACTGGGCTAATGAAGACGGGCATATGCCATACAGTGTGCTATGAGGGAAATTTTGCCCGGGCAGCGGTACTATCACCTACTCTTTTATCGAATTCCAACTGCCAAGGAATCTTTAATGTGCATTCCAATGTATACACGGGACCTCAGTCTTTTGTTTCATCCGAAGGACTAGACAGTTGTCCTTGTCAGGCCAGCACACTACGGCCTACACACTGAGCCACCATGTCTATTGTACCAGTGATTATTTTGGTATGGATTAAATGACTGCAAAAATTAATTAAGAACTAACCTGAAATACAAATGGGTTTCCCTGTTGTGTAGCAGAAGGTTCTTTATAAACCACCTGTTTGCCGGTGACATTAGCTCCGTCAGTTGAGGCAGTCACAATGTTTACAACAGACTTATGGACAACTGCGTAGCTTAACAACCCTTTCTGTGCATTCGTGAAGACGGAGAGATTATTATACAAATGAGATGTACTGCCTTTCAAAGTAATCGGCTTTTCTTTGCGATACATGATGAATTGAAGATTAAAATAAAAATTAGTTCTTCTGCTGTAATTTCTTGTTGCCGTGAACGCTTTATTCGCGCATGCTCATCATCTACTTCCGCTGTCAAAATTTATTACAATTTCCTTGAAGAAAAATTATCATAAATTTTACATCTCAATTTCGTATTTATTTGCAAAGCACCGTCTAATGTATTGAACACACATTGAAAAAATATATCACTGAGCACCACAAAAGTGATAGACATTGTCAAATATCAATAAAATCGAACCAAGGGAGACAATTTTGGAGTTTTCAGTGAATGGAGGGGCGAATGTCAATCATGGCCGATATAACGAAATGCGATCTGACAAAAGTTAAAACAGATCTAATACTAGCTCACAGAAAATGTTCGGAGAGACGACTTTTGAATTCTGCAAAATGGTAGTTCTTTCTGATATATTTCGCAAAATTCCATAACCCAAACTATGTGCGGTCTGTTTTTTCACAATTTTATTTTGAAGTAGAGAAATCCCGCCTGTGATTGTGAATGTTTTTAAACGAGAGTTACTTCCCTTCGATTTTTTTGGGGGAATAAAAGCACCCGTACTTGAAGGGGTGGGGGTTGGGATGGTCTAGAATGTCGCGCTTCGAGCTATAGCTTATTGGTCACCTCTGACTTGCAATCTTAGTTTCGATCTCTGGTGTGAGAGTATGTGGCTTTGGCTGTAGGGGCGCCTTTCACCCCACAGGAAAGACACCCTACGCATGCGCTATGCATAATATGACCAAGGGAAGTGGATGTTAAACACTAACAATAGAAGAAGAAGAACCCCAGGTGGAAGCAGACGTTAAGCCCCATTTTAACAAATATAATTAGTTAAAGGGGATACCGGATTGAATTAAAGAATTAAATTAAGCCAAAACAATTTGAGATAACAATCATCTCAGCCATCTCATTCTCAGGCCCTAAATGAATGTGTGAAATGAGAAAATATCTATATGGTTGAATAGAAAGCTGCGAAGCTGATGATGATTGACATGTTTGATTTTGTACATGTATGTTACAATTTAATTCAGCTCCAACCTACAAAACATTTTTGTTTTCGAAACGGAGAACCGGAATCTGCATCATTCTATCCATTATGAGAGCAGGGCCTCACAATAATATACTGAATAATAATATCGTAAGAAGGTGGATTCAACGATATATCTTGCTGGCACTGATTAAAACCAGGCCTTGGGACATTATTTTAAAGCTGTTTGTCTCTTATATATTTCAGGGCAGCAGAAATGTCACAAGCTGTTACAAAGGAAATAAATTTAAATGAATTGATCCAACCACAGTATCGTAAAGTAACTATTCATTTTTATATTATTGTTAAAATAATTTAACGTCCATCATCCAGACTTGAATTAACCAGTTTTATTTTGGCTTCCATTGTTCCAATTCTTTCTGTTTTTGATTAAATATTACAAGTAGATTTGAATGTTGATGTTAGTAAAACCATTTTAAAAAAGTTTGTTTAAATGAGTTTTCAATTTAGATCTAACTGAAATGAAATGAAATGGTGTTTAACTTCCTACTGTTCTGCTCCGACTGGGCTAATAAAGATGGGCATACGCCATACAGTGTGATATGAGGGAAGTTTTCCTGGGCAGCGGCACTATGGCCTACTCATATATCAAATTCCAACTGCCAAGGGAGGGATCTTTTACACAGGACCTCGGTTTTTGTCAGGCCCTCCGTTCTGCACCACTGACAAGGGGAAACCACGTCGGAAAATCCTGATGAACTTTCACGGCCAATGCAGGGATCGAATATGCAACCTCCAGGCTAGCGAGCCAGCGTCTTACCAGCTTAACCCTGTGACTCCTAGATCTAAATATAGTAATAAATGTGCAACATCTTATATCATATAGACAGGGGTTAGGTGGATGGATGCGCACTGTATCATAAAGTCTGTCATTGAGTCAACTGGTATGGTTTAGATTCCCAGGTTGTACGTAACAAGAAGTGGAGTCGCTTGTTCAACCTCATGGGTTTTCTCTGGGTCGTCCGGTTTCCTCCCACGGCTAAAGACCCCCTACGCGCAAGCGAATTATTGAAATAAAATTGAACCCTACCTAGTTTATGTTGAGTGGATGTTAAACCTCATTTCTCTCTCTCTTGATTCAATTCTTTTTATAACCAGCGCAGATCAAAGTAAATCTGAAATGTTTGTAGGTGCCTGATTGTTTAGATATTTAAAAGTACCGAACCAGTGTACAGATCAATTAACACGTGATATTGTTTCATTTTTTTATCTTCAGGATTTCTGTGATGAGTTTGATAAATACACCGTGGCATTGACATATTTTGATCTGAAAGAATACGGTCGAGCCGCTCGAGAAGTAGAGAAGTGTAAAAGTAGTCAAGGTTATTTCCTGTACATGTATTCAAGGTATCTAGCAGATGAGAAGAAAAGACTGGATAATTCTTCCGATTCCATCGGGCCCGTCGAACAAGAAGATAAATGTCTGAAAACGTTACATATAGAATTACAGAAAAAACATTTAGCCAAGGAGTTGGATGGATTTGGTTTGTATCTGTAAGTTTTATGGATTCATTTGCATTTTTTGGAAAATATCAAATTTTCTACGACTTAATTCACACTAAAATGAACTAAAAATTGGTTATTTGAAATTTAATTAACCCATTATCCATCAGACGTTCCATGTGGGGTGTGGATGGCCGAATGGTTAGCACCTGCGCGCTGTATCATAAGGCCTGTCATTGAGTCAACTGGCGTGGTTTCGATTCTCTGGTTGTATGTGACAAGGAGTTGGGTCGCGTGTCCAACCTCGTGGGTTTTCTCAAGGTCCTCCGGTTTCCTCCCACTGCTAAAGACCACTATGCACAAGTGAAGTATGGAAATAAAATTCAACCATATGTTAGTCCCGAAATGACCTAGTTTGTGTCCAGTGGACGTTAAACCCCATTTTTCTCTCTCTCTCTCTCTCCCTCTCCTTTGATCCTATCTTACATTTTGCTATATATAAAATAGGCCTACAATATTTTGACTACAGGCTTATTTTCTGTTAGAAACCATATATAATATAAGTGTTATGTTGTTTTGTTGCTAGGTTTGGGGTTGTGTTAAGAAAATTAGAATTAAATAAAACAGCTGTTGAAGTTTTAGTTGAATCTGTGAATCTGGAACCATTACACTGGGGATCATGGCAAGAATTAGCTCTATTAATAACAGATAGACAAATGGTTTGTATAACTTATATATAATCTCTTTAATAGAAGGCTTGATCTCGTTTTAACTCCGTGCATCTTATCAAGGCCTTCACGTGATACCCTAGATATATCGGCACTAATTTCGATTTGGTATTCACCCAGCTTAAGAGCCTATCAGATTCCTCGATCATTGTGAATACCAAGTCTCGCGCTTTCCAGCTACAATGTCTACCTGTGGTAATCGAGTTGCAAAGTTCAAGGTTCATTTAATGTCAAGGTTTCTGTGGAGGTTGCTATATTTGATTTAAGCGTGTTTGTGTCACAACCTCTGATTGGACGCTACTGTTCACGTGTGTGCAGTGAAAGGTAGATAACTTAGCTATAAGTTCGGGAATCGCAAAGCCGTGTAGAAACATCTAGGTGTTGTAAAACTTGCGGTTGTTGCTTCAGGAACATAGCGGGGGGGTGGGGAGTGTGGATCAGACTGGTTTAATATGTTCATTTATAAAGTTCTAAATTCACAAAACATGTTCATGTACCATAAAACGTGAATCTAGTAATTGTATAATTGAAATATATAAGTTCTTCAAGTTAGATTTAATCGAATGTTGGTGGACTTTTGTACAGATTTGAAGGTAGTTTATTTCACTTTATATCTGTTCCACAGAGACTCTTCTGAGTGGCCGAGAACAGATAGGAGTCAACAATAATTAAATGATCATTTATAAAGCGTTAAATTCTCAAGAAATGTTCATGATCCATAACACACTGAAAATAAGGCACCTGTCACAGACCATGTCAGACACAGATTCAGGCTTTGTCAGGCACAAAACCTCTAGAGCTAGTGCCTGTCATTTTGTCCGGCACTGATTTGTCTTTTTTATTGATATTAAGTTGAAAATGTCAGGTACTATTTGAGTATTTCGCCTGACATTTTGTCAGGTACTTCTAAAACCGTTATTTCAAGGCCTGCTGATAAGTTATCAAGTTAGATTTCAAGTCAAATAATAAAAATGACGACACATTAAACATCATTTTGTGTATTTAAAACTTGTCTGTTTCAGTTGAATAGTCTTGAATTACCAGATCATTGGGTAAAACAGCTGTTCCTAGCCAATGTTTATTTAGAATTACAACTGAATGAGGAACCATTAAAGATCTACCAGTCTTTCCTGGATAATGGTTTCATGAAGAGTAAATATATAATATCACAAATAGCTATATCATATCATAATATGAGAGGTAAGACATGTTTATATATTTACCTAGTTTATGTTCAGACATATCATAATATGAGAGGTAAGACATGTTTATATATACCTGGTTTATATTCAGACATAAATAGCTATATCATAACATGACAGGTAAGGCATGTTTTGTATATCCAGACATTTTATTTTCTTTATTTGTTTCCTGTGGTGCTAGAAGGCCATTCGGGATCTAATCCCTTTTCTTCTTCTCTCATCTCATCTCATTCTTTTCCCTAATTCTCTTCGCTCATTCTCTTCTCTCATTCTCTCCTTCTCTCAGTCTCTTCTTCTCTTCTTCTCTCATTCACTTCTTCTCTTCTCCCGTTCTCTCCTTCTCTCAGTCTCGTCTTCTCTTCTTCTCTCATTCACTTCTTCTCTTCTCCCGTTCTATTCTTCCCTCATTTTCTCCTTCTCCTCTTCTCTCATTCTCTCTTCTTTTCTCATCTCATTGTCTTACCAATAGGACCCTAGTCAAAAAGTTGCTCAACAGTAATTGTATTTCATAGAATTTTTACCTGTGTATTTACGGTGCTAGGAAAATTGATTTAAAATTGATTGTCTATTATTACTCCCATGGTGCTAGGACTATCCAGGGTCTCCTATTCTCCGTCCTATTGATATTCCAGTTACGAAGGGCCTGACAAGGACAGCTGTCTAGTCGTTCGAATGGGACGGAAAACCGAGGTCCTTGTACACATTGATGTGCACGTAAAAGATCCCTTGACAGTTGGAATTCGATATAAGAGTATCGGGCAAAATTTCCCTTATAGCACACTGTATGGCGTATGCCCGTCTTCATTAGCAGAACAGTAGGACGTTAAATCCCATTTCATTTCATTTCTCCAGTTACGAAAACTTTGTTTGAACGACGTAGCTGCTGGAAAGTTGAATGGGTTTGTTGCCTGATGTTATTATGTATATAATTTATTTATGTATATTTTATTTTATTCAACAGAAATAGAACAAGCTGTTAAAGCATTTAAACAGTTACATAAACTTGATCCATGTAGATTGGAGAATATGGATATTTACTCCAACCTGTTATATGTTAAGGTAGGTAGGTTGGGTGGCCGACCGACCACAGTGAAAAGATAGGAATTTAATATAAAACCTCTCTCACCCCCCCCAACCTTTCGAAGCTTGTTGCTTCGATAGTAAACATTTTCTTCTCACCTTAAACAATCTTGTGGGTTTTCTCAGGGTCCTCTGGTTTCCTCCCACTGCTAAAGGCCCCTAAGTGCAAGCGCGATTTTAAGATAAAATTAAACTGTATGTTAGTCCCAAAATGAACTAGTTTGTGTCAAGTGGATGTTAAAACCCATCTCTCTCTCTCTCTCTCTCTCTCTCTCTGGGTGACATGAGCCTCACTTTTGACTTGTGGTTTTTTTTCAGGAAATGGGAGGTGATTTAGCTGATTTAGCTCATCATAGTTGTGAGATTGATAAATACAGAGTTGAGACTTGTTGTGTTATAGGTAATTATAGTCTAGACTGGTTGTGTTATAGGTAGTTATACCCTAGACTTGAAATTTCCTGGGCAAAAAGTCAGCATTGCCTGGTGTAAATTCCCCACCTCTCAATTCGCATAATCTAGGATCACATAATTTCAAGATATTTAATGAGTGCTAATAAAAGATTAATTATATTTGTTGTATTGTAGGAAATTATTATTCGTTACGAGGACAACATGAGAAGGCTGTTTTATATTTTCAAAGAGCGTTAAAATTAAATCCACATTATTTATCATCGTGGACGTTAATGGGACATGAATATATGGAGATGAAGAACACATCAGCAGCTATACAGGCATATAGACAAGCAATAGGTAAATAGGTTATATAGAGAGGTAATATTGACAGGTTATATTGACAGGTAATCGGTAAATAGGTTATATAGACAGGTAAATAGGTAATATAGACAGGCAATAGGTAAATAGGTTGTATAGACAGGTAATATTGACAGGTTATATTGACAGGTAATCGGTAAATAGGTGATATAGACAGGTAAATAGGTTATATAGACAGGTTATATAGACGGGTAATAGGTATAAGGTTATTTGACTTTTACTAATTACACTAGGGCTATATTGATTCTCCTTCGCAATCAAACCTACTATATATTAGACTGAATGGCATCACTATAAAACTGTTTTTGATATACATGTATACACTGTATACACCCCTGTGTTATAGCAAACTGTTATTGATATACATGTGCATGTATTACACCCCTGCCTTATAGCAACCCCCCTGACTGACTGATTCACATCACTATAACACTTGCTGAGATACATGTATACCCCCTTGTCTATTGCTAATGTATGTTTATATTATGTATTTATAGAAGTCAACAAGAGAGATTATAGAGCATGGTATGGACTCGGACAGACCTACGAGATTTTAAAAATGCCAACTTATTCATTATATTACTATATGAGAGCTCAGCAATTACGGTAAGATTCCTTATATTACTGTATCAGAGCTCAATGGTAAGATTGTTTATATTACTGTATCAGAGCTCAATGGTAAGATTGTTTATATTACTATACAAGAGTTCAACAACAATGGTAGTATTCTTGGTAAGACATACGTTTGTTAATGTAGAATGCTCCAAATGGAATCAAGTTATATCTTCTGTTAGTTTATCTAGTGAGAATGGGGCTGGCTCAATAAACAGGTAATCTGGGCTTTAATACAGGTGTTTGTCTAGCTTATCTAGTGAGGATGGCGCTGGTTCAATAACCAGGTGATGCAAGGTTCAATACAAGTATTGGTCTAAAATGTTCCTCTCGATTGTCCAGCCTTGTTCATGATACAAGATGGATGCCCTAGCAAGAAAAGAGAGAGAGAGAAATGGGGTTTAACGTTCACTCGACACAAACTAGGTCATTTCGGGACTAACATATTGTTAATTTTATTTCATTAATTCGCTTGCGCATAGGGGTCTTTAGCAGTGGGAGGAATCCGGAGGACCCGGAAAAAACCCACAAGGTTGGACAGGCTACCCTACTCCTTGTCACGTACAACCGGGGATTCGAAACCACGCCAGTTGACTCAATGACAGACCGTATAATCCAGCATGAACGTGCTAACCATACGGCCATCCACCCCCCCCCCCCCCCCTAGCAAGAAAAGTGTCTAGTTGGTTGGATAAGACAAAAAAAAACAAGGTCCACCCGTGTTGATGTAAAACAACCCTTGACTGTTGGTATTTGAATTGGCGTGCACGTAAAAGAACCCTTGACAGAATTTGATATAAGATTAGGCCATAGTGCCGCTGCCCGGGCAAAATTTCCTTCATAGCACACTGTATGGCGTATGCCCGTCTTCAATAAAATCCATTTGAAGATGTGTTTTTGTTTCAGACCGAATGATTCAAGGATGGTCGTAGCTTTAGGTGAATGTTACGAGAAGTTAGAAAGATTGGTCGAGGCCAAGAAATGTTTTTGGAAAGCTCACAGCGTCGGTGATGTGGAAGGAATGGCGTTACTGAAACTAGCCAAGTAAGTTTCGTTTGTAGTATAATCTAAGTTATAAATTGTTTCAATGGCATTTAGTAAGAGACACCCTTCTAATTACCTTGATTATTATTCAAGAGCTTGATCTTTCGTTTAGCTTTAAATATTATATTAATAATTAATTAGACATTTATTTACATGTCAGGCCCATATTCAAGTCCTAGGACGTAATTTAATTACGTCAAGTTTCCTTCAAGGTAAGTAGAAAGGTGTCTCTGATTGGTCAACATTAACCAAGTACTGTTGTATACATGTATAAATTGTCTCGTTATATTATACTTGATAATGACTAGAGAAGCCTGGTCGGAACATGGCTCGGTAAGAAACAATAATTGTACTTCATAGAATTGTCATCTGTGTAATCTAAGTATGTTTCTGATATTTATACATTAGTAAGGTCTAGTTCTTGGAAATTCATCCAAAAATACATAATTTGAAAATTTAGAATGGGTGCTCTTTATAACTGAATATATCCTTCTGGACATAGCACTGTAAACCAGGTATCATTTAATATTGTGTATCTAGCTCTAATTTCTTTCACATTCGTTTAATATCCAATCTTTGTTTAAAATCACCATAAATCGTTTAATTTGTACTTCTGTCCAGTTTAAAGCTGACCATTCAATTTTGATAATGAGTGTCCAATTTACAAGTGTTTAATTTCTCAATCACTGTTAAAAAATAAACAACCTTATGGATTAATGATGTATAATGATTAATTTTTGAACAGTGGTCAGGAAATTAAACGCTTGTAAATTGGACACTCATTATCAAAATGAATCAGTCAGCTTTAAACCGGACACAAGTACAAATTAGATGATTTTTGGTTAATTTTAACGATTTTTTACAAATTTTTGAACAAATATTTGATATGAAAAGAATTTGAAAGAAATTAGTTACAGTGAAGATACTCCATTGAATGTAATAAAATTTATTTTTCTTAATTCCTTGAAAGGTGGAAATCGAGTAAACATAAGATGTTCTTGTAACAAGGCAAAATAAATATAATATTTTCTCGTTCCAATAGTTGAAATGGTTGATTACATCATTATTTTACTTTATTCTGTAATTCCATTAATTTGGAAAAATTCTGGATTGAAAATCAGATATGTAAATTGCTTCCCTTTATTGTAAATCATAAAATAATGACTTCATTATTCCCCTCAACCCCACAGACACAAATCTATATTTAATATAGAATATTTCAGATATTGTTTTATACAGAGTAATGAATGATTATATTTATAGATTATATGAAAGATTACAAGAAGATGATCAGGCCGCGTCAGCGTATATGGAATATATTAGTAAGATGGAAACACAAGGGGTACGTTTATTTTCCTTTATTTAAATAATATATTTAACTGAATATCACATATATTTATCAAATTTATTTTCTCAATCCCTTGAAAGGTGGTAATCTATGACGGAATTTGAGTTAAATTGTACCAAGTCAAGTGTAAAAAAAACCTTATAATACTGACAAATGCAAAGGTTTTTCTGTTCTGTACAAAAAGAATTGGTTCTATTACATCGTGTCAAATGACATCTTCACTTTTGACAAATTACATTTTTCTCGGTATAATTCATTTTGTGATATAATCAATTCAATAAAACCTAATTTATTTAATATTTTTGCTTTGACATTGCACGTTTCACATTCACCTTTTGACATTTCAACATTTCACTTTAAACTTTTTAAAAGTTCAACATAGTGACCCAGAACTTTAAACTTCTCATTTGATACTTGCTCAATGTATTTTCTCCTTCAACATTTGTTTTTTTGCATGGTAACTTTTTACGCAGAACATAAAATGAAGCCAGTATGCAAATTAGTTCACATGGCACCATTTTTGGATTGATATTCCTTTTTAGAGATTCAACTTTCATGATATTTTAGTTTTCATGGGTTCAAAAATCTCTCAAATTACAATCAGACAATTTAAATATTGTAAGTGAAAGTAGAGAGAATAGTGGGTTGATTTCCTAAAAATAGATATAACCCCCCCCCCTCCCCCGCGCGTAATTTTAAAGGGAACTACCCGAAATGGATATATCCCCCGCATAATTTTAAAGGGAACTGCGCCCTGAAATAGATATATATCCCCCCGTGTAATTTTAAAGGAAACTGCCCTGAAATGGATATATCCCCGCGTAGTTTTAAAGAGAACCGCACCCTGAAATGGATATATCCCCGCATAATTTTAAAGGGAACTGCCCTGAAATGGATATATCCCCGCATAATTTTAAAGGGAACTGCCCTGAAATGGATATATCCGCCTGTGAAATTTTAAAGGGAACTGCCCTGAAATGGATATAAATCCCCCCCCCCCTCATAATTTTAAGGGAACTGCCCTGAAATGAGTTGTTCATTTTATGCTCTCTACCAATGATAATCATCTATTCTCTTTATTTTTCAGTTCGCGAAATTTGAAGAACAGGGTCAAGCGTATAAATATTTAGCCAATTATTATTTATCACGTAAACAGTGGGACGAAGCCTACGCGGCCGCACAGAAATGTGTGGAGTTCCTAGAGGTGAGATACTATTAATAACTTTATTTTCGCTGGGCATTATGTAATATCTAGATATAAAGGGCTAGTTCTTCTCGCTATATAGATAATGCAAAATGAATTTTATTCAAATTACTTTATTTTGAGCGAAGTTATCAATGGTTGTAGTTTTAACAAGATGTGTGCATTGATCGTAACCACCATACTGGTCATTCGAGTCTTAGGCACACTTCTCCAATACTCAGCAAACCTCAGCGGATTCCAGTACCCTACATCTAGCCTCGGCTGTATGACAAAGTCCGCCATTGGAACTACTTTCAAGTTCCCGGATTACCAACGGCGTTGTCCATGACGACTCCTTTGAAGAATTTTTATCATACAAATAATTCAAAATCTGAAGCTGTTTTTCTTTCAAGTTTATCTGATTTTCTTTAAACAATGGCAAGTTTTGCTATTAAGTAAACCAGTGCTGCATCGCAATTGTATAGGCGTAGGTACATATCACTTACCGTCATACAGCCGAGGCTAGATTAGAGAAACGGAATCTGCCGAAGTTTGCCGAGTGACTTCTCCAATTTTAAATTAAATGACCAAATTGTTCTAATCTACTTAAAATCAGAGCCATCTGATGACCTCGAGAGTTGATTTATGGTCATGTCATGGTAATAAATGTCTACCGGTAATCAATAATTTAGATAACATTTTAGGCCCAAAGAAAGACCTGCAATAGGCAGATTTAATGGCTACATTATGTCCAATGGTAATTTCTAATCGCTGTTCAGCCATATTGTATATTATATAGAAAGTATATCTACAGTATATTTATAACCACACCACTAGTACACCGTATTAAACATACATTATGCAAGATCTAAATCTGCCTATTGCAGGTCTTTCTTTAGGCCTGAAATGTTATCTACATTATTAATTAGACATTAATTTACAAAACAAGACCATAATCAATTCTAGAGGGCATCGCTAGCCTGTGATCTTAAGTGGATTGTGAGCCGATTTACTGCATAACTTTCCTTCTCGATTGAATAGATAATCGAGACTATGCTGTTTATCGTCTGACTTTAGTAATGATGATCGAGGCTAGGCAGAAATTTCATTCGCTTAGTTTTCGGTTCATAGTGGATCAATTTGAATGAAATTTTCAGCATATTGCCTTTACATTATCTGTTTTTTAACTATTATAGTGAGAACTGCCAACTCGTTATCGAATCTCCTATAATGTATCTTTAAATAGATAAGGTTTTAAAGTAGATTTAAATTCTGTAAATGTAGGAAGATCATTCCAGGGAATTGTACCATTAATACATCCAATCTGATTAATATACAGATCTATATTTCATTTCGTTTTTTTATACTTTTGATGGCCTACCCTACATGAAGATCTGACAAGTTGTACTGGAAGGTCGTGTCAGGGGTCATGCGCACGGCTTTTGACTCTTTGATGTCAGACATAGATTAATCAATCGGCGTTGACATTTCTAGTGGTTTACCCACAGTTCCGTGCATGGCAGGCCAAGAACTCGCCATAACAGACCGTTTCATTGGCTAATCCCTGACATTTAATATAACAACGCTTCCAGATCCTTGTGTAGTAAAGACAAGTAAAACGAAATTTTCAACTATAAAAACGAAACGAAATATGATCTGTGTTTAAATACATAATGACATGTGTGAATATATAGAATATAATAATATTGTAAGTATTGTAGACAAGGATAGCTGTCTAGTCGTTCGGATGGGACAAAAAACCGAGGACCTGTGTATACATTGGCATACACATAAAAGATCCCCTGGAGGTTGGAATTCGATATAAGAGTAGGCCATAGTGCCACCGCCTCGGCAAAATTTCCATCATAGCACACTGTTTAAATATATATTGTATTTATTGTAGACAAGAGAAGAAGCGAAAGCGATATTAAAGACGATACAAACAGAACGTGGTATAACAGAGTCTAATATACATGTTGATATGGATGCTAGTACTGGATCTATCACCATGGAGAGACATCCATTAGTACCAAGTGATACCCCATTAGGACGGATTACACCAACGGCTTTACGTTTTACACCGTGATATCTTTATAATAAACATAATATATAATAGTTGATCTATGTTGGGTATCCTTGATAAACGAAAGAGAGAGAGAAATTGGGTTTAACGTCCACTCGGAGGACACAGAGAACCCCCCCCCCCCCCCCGACAAATAGAGAAAGAGAGAAATGGGATTTAACGTCCACTCAACACAAACAAGGTCATTTCGGGACTAACATATGGTTCAATTTTATTTCAACAATTCGCTTGCGGGTAGGGGTCTTTAGCAGTGGGAGGAAACTGTAGAAAACCCACGTGGTTTGACAGGCGACCCTACTCCTTGTCACGTACAACCGGGGATTTGAAATCACCCCAGTTGACTCAATGACAGGCCTTATGATATAGCGTGCACGTGCTAACCATTCGACCATCCAACCCCCATTTTATAGCACTTTACATCTGTAAATAATAATAATAATGTATATTTGTAATTGCGCTCACTCCATCCATATTGCATGCTCTAAGCGCATTGAAGATAATAGCTAATCCTGATAATACATAACACACAAACCAGTTTTGAGTTTGGATTTGAACACAGCTAATGTTTGAGAACTCTGTATCTCCAATGGTAAGTTATTCCACAGACAATGAAGGATTTAACCCCATATGATTTCAGTTTAGCTTGCGGCACAACCAATAAGGGCTTATTTTGTGAGCGAAGTGGTCGATTTGGTTGATATGATTGAATAAATGTGGGAATATTGACATTGATGAGCATTGTATACATTCACCCCCCCCCCCCTTCAAATGAAATGAAATGGGGTTTAATGTCCTACTGTTCTGCTCCTAACCTGGTTTTTCATCCCATCCGAAAAAATCGACAGCTGTCCTTGTCAGGCGCTCCATCCTGCATCACTGACAAGGGGAAACCACGCCGGAAAAGATGAACTTTCTCCGCTAATGCAGCCCACCCCTTGAAGGCAGGTATAGATAAAAAAAATGCACCAAGAACAAACCGCCACAGAAATGATTTCTTTGGGAACTGTTCAGGTGTGGTCTTTAGTACTTCCATAACAAAAGCGGCCATTATCGGTATTGGGAAAATTTGCATAATTAACATAAATCCAAGATGGCCGCCAGTGGACCATGTACTTGCAGAAATCTTCAAAATGGTAGACTTTAGTACAAATAAATGTATTAAGAACCTGAAGGAAATCGATACTCGCGAGTTCAAAAATGCCAATATTTTTTAACGCCGACCCCATTATAACGTAACGGCATTTTGACGCCATTACATCGTTCTCATTGTGACGCCATTACATCGTATTGTAACTGCGCTCGGAAAACTGCAGGAAACCACAAACAATTTGTATAAAAGAACACATCTTTACCCAAACTGAAACTATATCATCATTCATCTGAACAATTCCCAAAGAAATGATTTCTGTTGCAGTTTGTTCTAGCCCCCCCCCCCTCTCATATATTCATATCTCCACCCACGGGACTATATGGGCAGAGAGACCCCCCCCCCCTCTCATATATTGATATCTCCACCCACAGGACCATATGGGTAGAGAGACCCCCCCCCCCCCCGTATATTGATATCTCCACCCATGGGACTATATGAGTAGAGAGGCCCCCCCCCCCCATATATTGATATCTCCACCCATGGGACTATATGGGTAGAGAGACCCCCCCCCCCCATGGGACTATATGAGTAGAGAGCCCCCCTCCCCCGTATATTGATATCTCCACCCACAGGACTATATGGGTAGAGAGAAAGTAAAAAGATTCACGCAAGTCTGAGTAATGATTTTATTAAAATTATGTATAAAAGTATTGTGCTAAAATATGTGGAATGTTAAATCTGAAAATCTGTTTAAATGCATTCAATAATTTGCGTTCTATAAAAACAATTCAATACTTTCAACTAAAAAATACAAAAATTTAAAAAAGAAAACAACTACATCCCGTTATTAAAATTACATTCAATGAACATCTATGATATTGTGCGAATAACATTGGTTAGCCCCCTCTATATTATACTCTTCAAAAAAAGTAGGGGATATTGAAATGCAAATACCTATGCAGGTTGCGATATGATAAATAGTCTTAGTGGCAGCTCATTCCAGAGAGTAGGCGCGGCACGACTGAAGGCGCGATCGCCATACAACTCACTGGTTTGTTTTCCATGTGTTTAGTGGGAAAAGGGTCGCAACTTCACCTCATCTCTGCTTCTAGTCCGATAAGATGGAACTTGAATACTAATGATATTAGTGAGGTAGCAAGGCGCTGACTCACTATGGCGTATTAACTTGAAAATTATACATGACAGTTTAAAATGAATCCGCTTCTCAACTAGGAGCCAGTGTAGTTCCCGAAAAATGGGCGTCATCTCTGCGTGACGCTCCAGCTTCCTTCGGATCACCAGTTGAGCAGCGGAATTCTGAACATGTTGTAATTTCTTTAACTTGTATTTCGGGAGACCATAAAAAAGACTGTTACAGTAATCCAGTTTGGATGTCACAAAGCCATGCACCAATTTCTCAGTACTGGCCTGGTCTAACAAATGCCGGATTCGCCCGATACCCCACAGCGAGTGAGAAGCCTTGCTACACACACTCTTGATCTGATCATCCATCAGTCCAGCCAAGTCCCGTGCGGAAGCTGATGGCGAAACAAGCACCTCGCCAACTCGTACATCACCCGCGACGACCTGCGGACTCGCATTTTTCCTGCACGATGAGAAACAGACAATTTCACAATGAGGTTTTATATAGCGTCTTCTCCATGTTGACACATGCTCAAAACACTTTTAGTAATGGCTCTACTGGTAAAACTGTTGAAACGGGAAAGTCTTTAGTGCAGATTTAAATTGATTAAAAGTTTGTTGATTCTTGATCTGTTGTGGAAGTTTATTCCATAATCTAGGACCAGCTGAACTGAAAGACCTATACCCATATGACTTTAAATTATATCATCTTATATCAACTAGTAACTGTTTATTTTGAGAGCGAAGTGATCTAATAGGATTGTAGTCATATAAGAGTTTAGATAAGTATTGAGGAGCTGCGTTATTAGAGACTCTTTGCAAGCGTAAATTCCTTGTCCGCATCGCATATCCATATGGATTGTGCATCTGACGTCATCAATGTGTGTGTATTTCGGGCTGCAGTATTAAGAACTTTCTGGATCTTGACTAGAGAAGTGCTTGTAGGATTCCAGAGAGTAAACTATTACAATAATCAATCCTTGATAAAATCAGTGATCTCACAAGTAGTTTACAAGTGTCTGTAGTGAGATAGTCTCTGATGTTGTATACACAACGTAGATGGTATTAGCATCTTCAGTTGACTAATAAAGTAATAACAGGAAGCAGAAGAAGTTGAACAAGCAGGTTGGACGGTATCGGATCAAGTGGATATATGTTGTTTTGTTGGCGGATTTAATGATCTTTAAAATGTCATCTTGACTAAACCTCAAGTTCACGGGTGTACACGTATTTGTATCGCTAAGGACTCCATGATCAGTAAACTCCTTTCTAATTTTGCCAGTCAGAAAAAGAGTTTGCCAATGTCTACAGACTTGGTACCAAGCAATGATCCAGGAAGTTATGGTCTGAAATGCGCGAATATTGAAATGGACTGAAATATTTGGGATATAAAGATATATTTCAAGTTTCCTCAAAATTGGATAAAAATTGTGATTTCTAGAGGGTCCACAACCTTGGTATTACATACTTTTATACTATTTGCGTTTGCCATTTTTTCCGTCAGTTTGAGTCAGATTTTTACGAAATTTGAACTCAACTTTCATTGATGTGTAACAGTAATATATTTGAACGTTTTTGACAATTGAATACAAATTGTGACTTCTAGTGGGTCTACAAGCTAAAAATGCGATTTTTCCAACAATCTGGGGCCATAAGAGAGGAAGTTACGATCCAATATGCGCGAATATCGAAAGGAACCAAGATCTTTGGGTTATAAAGATGTCATTTCAAGTTTCATCAAAATCAGATCAAAATTGTAACTTCTTGAGGGTCCACAACCTTGACACAGTTCACAATTTACGCAACATGACGACACAGGATATGTTTTACACGGACTTGGATCATGCCTCCTGGAGATCATTTGAAATCCTTTAATGGTGGTACCGGTCCTATTTGAAAGAATTTTTTAAAACCTGTATCTGGTATTTTGCGACCATAGATGCTGGTACGATATAATAATTGTTCAATGAAGTATAAAAATTGTGGTGATGCATAGTGAAAGCTGATCAATAACTGACTGCAACAGTCAACTCCCTGTAAATAACAAAACATAGAAATATGAATGTTATAGTAATAGTTATACTGGTAATTCAATGTCCAACTGTTAAGGGGTCATTAACGTGCTGCCGATGGTCTACAGGGAACCTCGGTTTTACGTCCTGCACCATAAAGTAGTGATGGGGGGGGTGGAGGTTTAAAAATCCTGAGGACTATCCCGATAAGGGAGTCAGAGCCATACTCACCAGGACCTCCTGGTATGGGAGAGTCAGCACCTCCTGGTATGGGATTCGGCGTCATACTCACCAGAATCTCCTGGTAAGGGAGAGTCAGCACCTCCTGTTATGGGATTCGGCGTCATACTCACCAGAATCTCCTGGTAAGGGAGAGTCAGCACCTCCTGTTATGGGATTCGGCGTCATACTCACCAGAATCTCCTGGTAAGGGAGAGTCAGCACCTCCTGTTATGGGATTCGGCATAATACTCACCAGAATCGCCTGGTAATGGAGTCAGCAGTGGTACTCCTCATTCACTAAGCCACATTAATTTGTGTTTTTAAAAATTACATGAGAGAGGGAGAGAAAAGGGGTTTAACGTCCACTCGACACAAACAACATATGGTTTAATTTTATTCAATAATTCGCTTGCGCGTTGGGGTCTTTAGCAGTGGGAGGAAACCGGAGAAAACCCACAAGGTTGGACAACATATGGTTTAATTTTATTCAATAATTCGCTTGCGCGTTGGGGTCTTTAGCAGTGGGAGGAAACCGGAGGACCCGGAGAAAACCCACAAGGTTGGACAGACGACCCTACTCCTTGTCACGTACAACCGGGGATTCAAAACCACACCAATTGACTCAATGACAGGCCTTATGAAAAACTACATGAACGCCATATTAGAGAGTTCATTTACCCACTGCTTATTTTACTTACTGTCCTGGTTGGGTTTCTGTCGTACGATTTTATATTATCTGGAAGTCCACCATTCACATGAGCTAAACCGCTGAATGGATGAAAGCTTTCTCTTCCAAATTTATCTACAGTGTTATGTACAGATACGTTGACCGCCTGCAAACAGTGGCCTATATCTACATCTTCGTCGTTTCCATCATTTCTACATTTACCCTGTAATTATACAAATAGTTACCAAGCAAGAGACGGACAGAGAACAAGCTCAAAAAAAAGAAGTGATTTTTCATACAATCAAGGGCCATAATTCAGGAAGTTGCGATCTGATATGCACGAATATTGAAAGGAACTGAGATCTTTGGGTTATAAACTTACATTTCAAGTTTCATCAAAATCGGATCAAAATTGTGTCCTCTCTCTAGAGGGTCCAAAAACTTGATATACCATATACTTACAATATTTGCATTCGAGGGGCAGCCATTTTGTCCGGCAGTTTTGGTCCGATTTGTACGAAATTCGGACTCAACCACCATAAGGGTGTAACAGTAAATTTTTCAAAGGTTTTTTTAAATCGGATAAAAATTGTGACATATAGAGGGATCACATCCTAAAAACCTGATATTTCATACAATCATGGGCCATCATTCTGGAATATGCGCGAATATCGAATTGAACCAAGATCTTTGGGTTATAAATATGTATTTCAAGTTTCATCAAAATCGGATCAAAATTGTGGCCTCTAGAGGATCCACAACCTTGATATACCATATATTTACACTATTTGCGTGCAAGAGGCAACCATTTTGTCCGGCAGTTTTGGTCCGATTTCCACCAAATTCAAACTCAGCCATCATAATGGTGATATATTCGAACGTTTTTTTAAATCAGTTAATAATTGTGACCTCTAGAGGGACCACAAGCTAAAAATACGATTTTTCCTACAATCAGGGGCCATAATTCAGAGAGAGAGAGAAAAGGGGTTTAACGTCCACTCGACACAAACTAGGTCATTTCGGGACTAACATATGGTTTTAATTTTATTTCAAAAATTCACTTGCGCGTAGGGGTCTTTAGTAGTGGGAGGAAACTGGAGGACCCGGAGAAAACCCACGAGGTTGGACAGGCGACCCTACTCCTTGTCACGTACAACCGGGGATTCGAAACCATGCCAGTTGACTCAATGACAGGCCTTATGATACAGAGTACACGTCCTAACCATTCGGTCATCCAACCCCCCGCCATAATTCAGGAAGTTACGATCCGATATGCACGAATATCGAAAGCAAACAAGATCTTTGGGTTATAAACATGCATTTCAAGTTCCATCAAAATCGAATTAAAATTGTGACCTCTACAGGGTCCACAACATTGATATACCATATTTTTTACACCATTTGTCTGTCAGTTTTGGTTCGATTTTTACGAAATTCGAACTCAAACGTCCTTAGGGTATAACGGTGATATATACAAACATTTTTTTAAATCGGATAAGAAATATGATCGCTACCTATAGGGTCCACAAGCTAAAAATGTGATTTTTCGTACAACCAGGGGCAATAATTCAGGAAGTTACGATTCGAAAGGAACCGAGATCTTTGGGTTATAAACTTACATTTCAAGTTCCATCAAAATCAGAAGAAAATTGTGACCTCTACGGGATCCACAACCTTGATATTCCAACCAGCCTTAGGGTACAACGGTGATATAGTAAAACGGTTTTTTAAAACGGATAAAAATTATGACCTCTATAGGGTCCACAAGCTAAAAACGTGATTTTTCGTACAATCAGGGGGCCATAATTCAGGAAGTTACGGTACGATATGCGCGAATATCGAAAGGAACCGAGATCTTTGGGTTATAAACTTACATTTCAAGTTTCAACAAAAACGGATAAAAATTGTGACTGTTGGTCAGTTTTGAGCCGATTTTCACGAAATTCGAACTCAACCGTGCTTAGGGTGTAACAGTGATATAATAATACGTTCTTTTAAATCAGATAAAAATTATGACCTCTATTGGGTCCACAAGCTAAAAACGCGATTTTTCGTACAATCAGAGGCCATAATTTGGGAAGTTACAGTCCGATATGCGCGAATATCGAAAGGAACCGAGATCTTTGGGTTATAAACTTACATTTCAAGTTTCAACAAAATCGGATAAAAATTGTGACATTTATAGGGTCCACAACCTTGATATACCATATTTTTACACTATTCGCGTACAAGCGGCGGCCATTTTGTCCGTCAGTTTTGGTCTGATTTTCACGAAATTCGAACTCAACCTTTCTTACGGTGTAACAGTGATATACTAAAACGTTTTTTTAAATTGGATAAAAATTGTGACCTCTGGAGGGACCACAAGCCAAAACGTGATTTTTCGTACAATCAGGGGCCATAATTCAGGAAGTTACGATCTGATATGCGCGAATATCGAAAGGAACCAAGATCTTTTGGTTATAAACATGCATTTCAAGTTCCATCAAAATCGGATCAAAATTGTGACCTCTAGAGTGTCCACAAGCTAAAAACGCGATTTTTTGTAGAATCAGGGGCCATAATCCATGAAGTTATGGTCCGATACATGCCAATATCGAAAGGAACCAAGATCTTAGGGAGATAAAGCTATATTTAAAGTTTCGTTGAAATCGGATAAAAATTGTGACCTGTAGAGTGTCCACAAACAAATTGTGGACGGAAGGACGGACAAACAGGGGCGACGACAATATACGTCCACATGAAAATGTGTGTGTATAAAAATTACAAACTTACAGAGGACCTGTAGCCATGTTTTACCAGTTTTCTTAAAGCACGTCTACTTAAAACATATCCCGCTCCTCCACTCATGTAACCATAGTTACTGTATTTCTTAAATAAATGACCCACATATACAGGAGCATTGGAACTATAATGAGACAGCAAAAACTTCAAATTCTCCATCACAATATACGTATCATCATCAGCTTTTAAAAACCAGTCGTAACTCATTAAAAAATGACTGTGGATAAATTTAAGAGCCTGAACAGATTTAGCAGTGAGGTGACTTCGTCCATTAGGAACCTTTAATGTGAGAATGTCACCTTGTAAACTGGTGGGTGAGGACGGGTCGCCCAGTACATATAATGTTCTATCACAGCGTCTAGCCCACGTATTGTTCACGGCTTTCACTTTAGTTTCTAGAGAATTGGTAATGGTTGGGATCCAACACAGGATTTTAATGTTGTTCATCAGTCGTTGAGCAATTCTATCATCTATGATTACTGCAATGAAATAAAATGAAATGATGACCTATATTTCTCCACCAAGAGGAGAGAGAGAGAGAGAGAGAGAGGTAATGTCCACTCCACACACACGAATGGTTCAATTTTATTTTATTAATTTGCTTGCATGTAAGGGTCTTTAGCAGTGGGAGGAAACCAGAGGACCCGGAGAAAACCCACAAAGCTGGACAGACGACCCTACTCCTTGTCACATGCAATCGAAACCACACCTCGAATGACAGGCCTAATGATGCAACTCAGACGCGTTAACCATTTCGCCACCGTCCTCACCCCCTTTGCAGCAAAAGGGGTAATGAAGATGGGTGTACAAGTGTGGCTGCTAGGAGGGAAATTTTGCCCGGGCAGTGGTGCTCAAGGGTACTGTTATTTCGAGTTTCGTCTGTTAAGGGTTGTTTTACGTGCATGTCAACGTGTTCACAGGAAGTCGGTTTTTCGTACCATTCGAACAACTAGACACTGACTCTGGCGCTTGAACTCAGTTGCCTAAAGGGTTAACCGAGATTTCCCCGACCACGGATAGCAGGACAGATTATTCCATTCATAACCAGTTTGTTCCAGTCATGAACTGTTGGTTACGGTGACAATCGAAATCTTTACCAGAAGAGATGAAGAAATTAAATCCAGTACGGAAGCCCACTAGCATACAGTAAAAAAATCTTCAAAAAACTTACAAGTTTTGTCGTCAGCAGCAGTTAGTCGACCATCTTTTATCACATGTGTATTCGTTGTATCTTTTCGTGAATCTAAAACACAATCTTTAAAGTTAGATCTGGAATTGTGTTTAGAGAACTCTGGACGGTAAAATATTCAGATTTGGATGCATTGATTCCTTATTTAAAGGAATTACACCTATATCAAATGAATTTAGGAGGGGGACATCACATGTATCAATAATATCAATAAAAAAGACAAATCAGTGCCGGACAAAATGACAGGTACCAGAGGTTTTGTGTCTGACATTGTCTGTGACAGGTGCCTTATTTCCTGTGCATGTCAATGTGTACATATGTGGGTGTCGTTTTGTCGTCACAGCCGCACAACCAGATGACGCTTATGCGTATGTACCAAGTCTGGAAATAAGGCACCTGTCACAGACAATGTCAGGCACAAAATCTCTGGTACCTGTTATTTTGTCCGGCACTGATTTGTCTTTTTTATTGATATTATTAATACATGTTCAACACGCTAAGTTGAAAATGTCACTACTATTTAATTAGTGTCTGACATTTTGTCAGGTGATCTAAACCGTTATTTCCAGACCTGGTATGTACTTACTATATGTGATGGACGGATCAAATGTGACATCATATTGGTCATAAGAGGTATAATTAAACTCATCATAAAAATCTTCAAATGGAAATTTACCAGTTCCTGTAATCATAGATATTATACATAGTCAGATAAAACTAGGAGTTGTCAGATAAAACTGGGAGTTGTCAGATAAAACCAGGAGTTGTCAGATAAAACCAGTTGTTGTCAGATAAAACCGGGAGTTGTCAGATAAAACAGTGAGGTTGTCAAATAAAACCAGGAGTTGTCAGATAAAACCAGGAGTTGTCAGATAAAACCGGGAGTTATCAGATAAAACCAGGAGTTATCAGATATTACATCCCACTTCTACTCGTTGCCACTGGCAACCTTTGATAAAACTGTCCTGTTTAATTGCAATACATGCTTAAAAGTATCTGTGTATCAGAAATGTACAGAAAGAGTACTGATCATTTCTGATACACGGATACTTTTATACCGTTTTATATATCTATCAAGCAATAAGTAGCGGAGGTTTAGTCCGACCCAGATCGCAATTGATAACGAGGCTCTAACCAATGTACATGAAACAACTAGTCAAAATCATAGTAACAAAACAAAATGGGGGGAACTACATGGCAGTTCAAAAACATATACAATGACATTAAATTAACATAACAACATATTACAAAAATCAATTATTATACATACCAATTGGCATCTATTTCATAATTTATATTAATATGCAAAATATATAAATTAGAATATTGAATAATTATTTTAATTAATTGTGATGATAGAAGGCGCAGTTCTATTGCTGGACACTTCACAGGCATTGAAAATAAGCAGGATGAAAAAAAAACGCCGAGAAAGTCATAAACGTTATTACAAATAAATTTCAACGGAAGAACCATCCGCCGATGCATACTTTCACCAGGAATGACGAACGTTTCGCATTTCCTTTACACTACATTTAATAATATCGCAGTCCTCTACACCATAAACATTGTTTTGACGATGTGGTCTAAACAAACATGTGATTGTTTTACGCTCAGAGTATCATAGCAAGACGCACGTATAAATACTACTCAGGTCGTCTCTCCACTGCAAAATCATTCCACCATGAAATGTAACTTGAGGCTCAGAAAGGGATAAATAATGAAAGAACAGAAAGTGTTCGTCACTTTTCGGTTGAAACGACTCGATAATAAATACTATTTTTCACATTTTGCTTCACAATACTCGATAGAAATGTGATGTAAGTAACTTATTAGCACCTTTCCTCGGTGTATCAGTGAATATTAGGACAGTTTTGGTCGGGAGCCGCCTCGGCTGGGCCCCTTGACCAAAACTGTCCTGATATTCACCGATACACCTTGGAAAGTGTGCTAATAACTACTACAAACCGGGAGTTGTCAGATAAAACCAGGAGTTGTCAGATAAAATCGGGAGTTGTCAGTGCCTATAATTAACGACACCAGACAGGTCAAATTTGCGTACATAGAGATAACCATGGACATTTGCTTGCAACTTGGCTGGGATCATTTCCTAATTTTGTCAGCTAGATATATTACATCACGGTTTAGTTTGATAAACAAGAGAAAAAATATATTACATCCTGGTTTAGTTTGATAAACAAGATAAACGATTCACGGTTTAGTTTGATAAACAAGATATGGTGTGGTTTTGATAAACAAAAAGGTAATGGCAGTACTAGTCACTCTCTGTATTTTGTTAAACTTTGGGTCGTCTTAATTTATAAATATATCATCTATTTCCTTAGCATTATATGGTGGTGTCCTATCTAATAAAACTTGTTTACGAATTTGAAACCAGTATTATATTGAAGCCATAACGTTGATACAATAAGTATTCAATCAGCCTATTGCAGGCCATGTTATATAAGTTATTATTTAGACATTTATTCACATGACAAGCCTATAATCAGCTCTCTAGAAGATTGGATGGCTGAGATATTGAGTGGATTACAAAATGTCCGCCATATCTTTGTGTATCGTTAATATAGATGCCACTCATAATTTCACCCAGAATAAATTTATTTGAATGAATGAAGTTTTGAATATATTCATTTTTCATTATCTATTATTAAAAAAAGAGAGAGAGATGGGTTTAACCTGCACTCGAGACAAACTAGGTCATTTCGGGACTAACACATCATTCACATGGTTTAATTTTATTTCAAAAATCGCTTGCACGTAGGGGTCTTTAGCAGTGGGAGAAAACCGGAGGACCCGAAGAAAACCCATGAGGTTGGACAGGTGACCCTACCCCTCGTCACGTATAACCGGATATCAAAACCACGCCAGTTGACTCAATGAGAGACACGGTGTTATCATACAGCACGCACATGCTAACCATTCGGCCATCCAACCCCTGTCTATTATCAAAGTATTATAGCCTCTTTAAATATTATAAGATAAAAGACAGTTACTTAGTCTGTTATAAAGATACTAACTACCCTGATATGTATAATCACATTTGTCCTAACAGATAAAGAAATAAAAATATGCACAGACATTCAATGAAACACACTCCTCTCACTAACTTAGTTCTCCCTTTTATTTCAATAAATGTTATTCCTATTTTAAATTCCAAGTCCGCGCAATTTGTACGCAAGTCTTCACAGAACACGCCTGTCAAGTGTTATGTTTGATGTTGATCCCAAAATTTTGACAGATATATGGTTCCCGTCTATATGTGGTCAAAAAAGTTTTTAAAAAAAAAAAAATTTAAAGGTCATTTTCTTTATTGAGAGAGAGAGAGAGAAATGGAGTTTAACGTCTACTCAACAAAGACTAGTTCACTTTGGAACTAACATATGGTTTTTTAATTTTATTTCAATAATTCGCTTGCGTGTAGGGGTCTTTAGCAGTGGATAGGAAACCGGAGGACCCGGAGAAAACCCACGAGGTTGGACAGGCAACCCTACTCCTTGTCACGTACAACCGGGATTCGAAACCACGCCAGTTGACTCAATGACAGACCTTATGATACACCGCACACGTGCTAACCATTCGGCCATCCAACCGCCCCTTCTTAATTGAGAGATGGTAAGCATATTTTAAATAGAGATGACAGAAAGACATTATAGAGAGAGATGGCAGGAAAGACTTACAGATATTATAACGCGTGTAAGCTGATACGGAGGTCGGGTGTTCGATCCCTGCATTGGCCGAGAAAGTTCATCCAGATTTTCCGGCGTGGTTCTCCCTTGTCAGTGATGCAGGACGGAGGGGCTGACAAGGAAAACTGTCTAGTCGTTCGGATGGGACGAAAAACCGAGGTCCCGTGTACACATTGGCGTGCACGTAAAAGATCCCTTGGCAGTTGGAATTCGATATAAGAGTAGGCCGTAGTGCCGCTGTCCGGGCAAAATTTCCCTCATAGCACACTGTATGGCGTATGCCCGTCTTCATTAGCCCAGGTTAGGAGCAGAACAGTAGGACGTTAAACCCCATTTCATTTCATTTCATTTCGTAAGCTGATACTACTGTTGACTATTGAAGCTAGGTCTTTTAGTAATGACAATTTTTGTCATTAAATCATATAAGTGGTCAATATTCTAAACTAATGTTTAGTATGTATAGAAAGTGGTTATAAATTACACAGTGACAGAGTTTAAACAATATAAATTCAAACATTAATAAATCAAGAAATAGTAAGCTGATACTGTTGACTAATGAAGCTAGGTCTTTTAGTAATGACAATTTTTGTCATTAAATCATATAAGTGGTCAATATTCTAAACTAATGTTTAGTATGTATAGAAAGTGGTTATAAATTACACAGTGACAGAGTTTAAACAATATAAATTCAAACATTAATAAATCAAGAAATAGGACTTAAAACATACATTATGCAAGAGCTAAATCTGCCTATTGCAGGTCTTTCTTTAGGCCTGAAATGTTATTTAAATTATTAATTAGACATTTATTAACTTATCCAGACTATAATCAACTCTCGATGGCATCGGGTACTTGTGATTTTAACAAGATTAGAACGTTTCGCCTTTTGAAAATTTAATTTAAAAATTGAAAAGCGAGGCTAAGTCGCGAATATACCAGTGCGCTAGTAACCACAATGCACACATCTTGTCAAAACAATAAACAGTGATAATTTCGCTCAGAATGAAGTAATTTGGCTGAAAATTTCAATATTTTCTTTTTTTATCATCTATTTTTGAATTATTTAAGCAAGATTGACCAACTCTTTATTTTAAAACTCTTAACTAATGTATCTTTAAAAAAAAATGATTAATATCAACAGATCATTGACTTACTGTCTCATTACATGTTGTCATGGAAACACCCGCAGCCACACCCTGATATCATTAATACACTGACATATATCTAATACATGTTGGTGCAAACCCAAATAATGAGTAGACAAAGGCTTTGAAGTGTGCTATGTGTGAAATTTTGTCAGGGCAGCGACGTTTTTGCTAACTCCAACTGTTGGCAGGTTCTGATAGTTAGTTAGTCAGTGATCCACTGTGGCCCCCCTCCATCGTATAGAACGGATACAGAATTGTAAAATACCTGTTATTAGTATCATTAGTGCCACACCCAACAGAAATAATCCACTCAATATCAATACTCGCTTTAAACGAACCATCACCTCACACTGTCGAACCATTACCTCACACTGTCGTTCTGGTGTTTCACATCAATTCATTGTCAGGTTACCTGAAATAAACCAATTACAACTTAAAGGAGCTAAACCTCTATTAGTATTATTTATAGTCTAAAAATGGATGATAAGAGAGAAGAGAGAGAGAAGAGAGAGAGAGAGAGAAAGAGAGAGAGAGAGATGGGGTATAAGTCCACTCGGCACAAACTAGGCCATTTCGGGACTAACATATGCTTCAATTGTATTTCAATAATTTGCATGCAGCCTTGCACGTAGGGTTTTTTAACGTCTTTAGCTGTGGGAGGAAACAGGAGAACCCGAAGAAAACCCACAAAGTTAGACAGGCGACCCTATTCCATATTACGTACAACCGGGGAATCAAAACCACGCCAGTTGACTCAATGACAGACCTCCTAATACAACGAGCACGTGCTAACCATTCGGCCACGCCAAAATGATAAGCGATCAAATTGACATATTAATGAAATACGAGGGTACATGTATGTAAATCGCGTAGTTACATTCATATCTTTGTGATTCCTAATAAGGTATTTTAGACCAGACCATTTTCAATGACATCGTTTCGCCTGGTTATTCTGGCCTACATCGGGAGCTCGATTTGACATTTCACTTCCAAACTGTTTCGACCCCTTTCTCAAAGCTCCTCATTACAAATGGTGGTTGATATCATAGGTAAAATGGCGCCCCTTCCTCATTTTAACATTTTTATTGCATCGTTTGTAATGGCCACGCGGAGACCATATTTACACGATACAACGACAACATCATCATTGACTAAAATGGACCTATATTAAATTTTAATTCTTGTTTTACGAGTTGGCACTTCTCACTATAATAGTTAAAAACTAGATAACGGCAATTTGCTGAAAATTTCATTCAAATTGATCCACTATGAACCGAGAATTAAGCGATTGAAATTTTCGCCTAGCCTCGATCATCATTACTAAAGCCAGTACGATAAACAGCATAGTCTCGATTATCCATTTAATCGTTAAATTGTGAAGGAAAGTTATGCAGTAAATCGGCTCATAATCCACTAAAGATCGCAGGCTAGCGATGCCATCTAGAGTTAATTATGGTCTGGATAGGTTAATTATAAGAATCTGTATTCATATTTGATACTTAGAGATCTGGGTCCTGTTTCACAAAATTTTAACTAAGATAAAATCCAAATTTTAGTAATTTGATTGGATAATATTAGATTGATTTTAGTGCTTAGCCAATCAAAATTGAAGTATCTACTAAAATTGGATTTTATCTTTAGTTAAGATTTTGAGAAACAGGGCCCAGAACTATGACCATAGTTAATTTGAGGCCCCAGCCATTATAGAATCCTACTTAAAATAAACTCTGTAATTATATTAGAGAGACATTGTTTCATAAATTATTATCTATTGTAAAGTTAATCCAGTAAGGTATTAAGGATTATAAAGTTAGGGTAACTAAGAAACAAAGCTAAGGTATAAAAGTCCTGAAAATTGTATATTAGAAAAAGGCGAGTTAACCACAGGCAGGCAGAGGACATAGTGAAGGGCAGGTCTCTGATAAGTTATTTCTTAGATGCTGTTCCTTATTAAGTTACCTAGCCTGTGGGTCAGTATTATTACTGTTTAAGTATTGTTACAGAATATAAGATTATACCAAGAAGAAATTTAGAGTTATTAAATTACTGTATGTTCAATCTCACACCCCCAACTAGATTGAACATATAACCCATCGTGGAAGGTTGGACTATAAGCAGGTCCTTAAACCCTGGATGATAGGACACAGGTCTACAGTCGAAGTGTTAAATCTCACTCTCTCTCTCTCTCTGTCTGTCTCTCTCTCTCAGGTATAATAAATAGATAGAATAGAGTAATATGATATATCTATAACTGCACGGTTTGTATTTCATAATGTCACAAGAGATTATATATATATATATATATATATATATATATATATATATATATATATATATATATATATATATATATATATATATATATAACACAACTTGTATAACATATATAGAAAAAAAAACATGTACGGGACCCCTACTCTAGATTGTAAATAATGCTTTCTAGACTAGGTCCTTAATGTCAAAAACATACATTGAGAAATACACAGGTCCTTGATGTCAAAAACAACATATACTGAACAATAATAAATAGGTCCACAAAACTACTTGAATTCTTTCACCAGTGTCAGCTGAAAGTCAGGCCGCGATTAATTAATTATTTGTTTCTCATGACCTGTGTTTGTGAAATATACATGCTACATGAGGTAATTATTAATTATTGAGATGGAATTTAACTTTTTTTTAGTTTATCGCTGTGTCTATTTCAGCAATAACTAATGTTGGTTACTTGCTCATTGAAAACCCAACGGTAACCGGCGTTCACCATTTCTTTATATTTAATAAATCTTTATTTTATTATCTGGTGCACAATAGCCGGAGGACATCGGAAGACTTCATCATAATGATAGGTCTAAATTATTAGTGATATACATGTAATTCTAAGTTAACCGTTCGTTAATTCACTCATTCTTGGCATTTCATTTCTTCATGATCTTTCCCTACTTTGACAGGTTACGAAATGATTTGTAAATAATGTTCTGACATTAATATTTAAAAGCATAGGCCCTACCTTTGGATTTTTAAATACAACAGAAGTTAGATTATTAATATGTCAGTCCAAAGAATTTATTACACACGTGGTCATTTCTCTAACATTGAAGAAGACAGTACCATTAACCTGTATGTTAATTGTCTTCAACTTTAACCCCATCGGCACATGGCATCATGATAATATAAAATACTTTTATAAACTTGTCTATCTTCATCAAAGTATTCACATTTATTAGTATCTTTGTGTCCTTTTGAGACTGTTTTTATAGAGCGTCGTGGTTAATAAAATACTGTGACGTGTCAATCAGTCGGTACGTAAATAAAATATTTTAGTAGAAATCTAAAGACATTTATATCTTTCTGTGAATTTTATTACATATGGCCAGTGCCTAAGGCTGCTATTACATTGGGGTATACGGTATACAGGCACGGCGGTTTACACGCCATATACTATACCATGGGCGTGGATTTAGGGGGGAACTGGGGGGGGGACGCGTCCTCCCCTTAGAATCGGAAGGGGGGGACAAATAGGCCTTGTCTACCCCATGATTTTAATCGCCAGGACAGATTTTCAGGTTGATATCCACATGATGGTGAGCTTGTTTCTACGTATCTGGAACTGAATCGGGACTTGGAACAAGAATTGCCATTCTTCAAGTGCCAGTTTTCGGCCAAATCTATTTTACTTGTGCACGAAGCGTTCCTCATTATGTCACCTGAAGTGAGGGAGATGTTCCCTTCTGTCTGCTCAGCATGCGATTCTTCAGCACTCTGCAGCGTATCAAAACGTGGCTGTGCAACTCCATGATGCAAAACCCACTAAACCACTTGATGGCGTGTGCGGTGCATAATGACCCCCTTCATGTCGCCAAAATATTCAAAGAGAACATTCCTGATTGTAGAACGAACGTCTTTGGACGATTCACTTAACTTCATGAACAATTAATATTTATGCAGCTTTGATGTAGGTAGTCAATATTTCCATATTGTCATCATTTTTTACCCCTAGTTACAGCCTTCATCGAAATTACGTTGGTACAGTAAACTGTTCGTAATTATTTATTTCGTTTGGTAATGAAATGTTCCAGGTTCCAGGATTCGCGTCCCCCCCCCCCAAAGTTATGACAAATCCACGCCCTTCTACTATATGTAGGTATACTGGCCTGGTTAGTTATGTTTCCCACTGCTTTTGGTACCCTCAGTCATTCATATCCGGACAGAATGGATTCTACTTGCGGAGGTGTGAAGCATGGTGGCGTGAAGGTCAGGTTTTGAGTCGGCTCATTCCAATAGTGGGGGGGGGGGGCAGTTAACTGGAAATCATTGTTCAGGAGAATATAAAATAGTCTTCCATCTCTAGGGATATGTCCATCAATGTTCAGAACTTTTCATTCTAACTTTATACAACATGAATGCCCCATTTTCTACTGACCTCATGGAATTTTGACCTCACGGAATTTACTCCTCCCTGCAGCAAGTATATGCGGGGAAAAAAACGAACATGCACAATACCATGTATACGCGTATAGCGTGCCCCTATACGTGTCTAGTCTGATGTAAACCGCTAAGCAAATTCCTGTTTTTCGAACACAAGTATTCGTGTATACCTCTAAATGTATACCGAATACCCCTATGTAATAGCAGTTTAATGAAGTATGTATGTCACTATGTTGTCTTTGGTGCTATATAGTTCCACGTAGCAAAGCCCAACGCAAATCACATCAGGACACAGTAACAGTAAGCAAAATTGACAATATTTTTCATCAAAACAACGATTGATTATTGTTATTTATAATATTTCTGCCACATCCAACTACAATTTTAGCATATAATCCTAACCGAATCAGGTATAAATCATCTTATTTAAAATTGAGGTGTTAAGCTGTTACTAGGAATGCCATTTTTAAACGGGAGATGTACGGTGTATGTACAACGCTTCATTAATTTAAACGCGAATATTTTGAGTTAGGCGATAGTTGTGCCACTACATTGGTCTCTGTAAGTTTAATTAGTCATAATACTATAAAATTATCTTGTTTTTAAGATGTTACATGTACATACATTAATAAAGAAATTGAGTTTGCCACATGGAACTAAAGGCACCCAATTGTAGCTAAAAACAAGCACACCAATATATCTCATTCTCAACGTTTTAAGCTACGTTCTCGTATGCTGCAGCAACCATTCCTTGGTTTCAATGACAGATATGATACGGCTTTTTTAACTTTCTGTTTCACATATGGACGTACATATTTTTTTCACATTCTAGCCTACGAGACTTTACTTATCACCTACCGTGTCATTTTTATCGATATACAGTCGATTTTAATGCGGCAATTCATTGTTCATATTTGAAGGCAAACAAATATAGTTTTACAAATTTAACAGGCCGGATTTGTGACCTCACTAAATTTGACCAAATAATTATGAAAATGCGTAATTATTACGGATTAAAATAGACATGCAGTCGGGTCATGTGACACAAACAATTAATTATTACGGATGAAAACAGACATGCGGGCGGGTCACAAGAAACAAACAATAATTAACCGCGGCCTCAGTATTATCTATAGAATGGTTTAGCTTACCAATGTTATACTACTGCGACGATGGGAGGACTAGGCCTACTACTAACACTACTACATGTACTACTGCGATGATGACTAGGTCTACCACTACTGCTACTACTAATATATACTGCTACTCCTACAACAACCACAGGTCAACAATCCACTGAATTTAACAAGATACTCCTTGCAGTGTTTCGTTTGATTTCATGGGTCATTGCTTCAGAAATATGATATATTAGATCACGATCAGTTATAGCCAGAAGGCCGGATTCAAATCCCTGTGGACTCCATGACAAGTATTGTATGCTTCATTAATCACTGATCATAGAGGTTGAACTTAAATTGTATCAATATTACAGAGTTCAAGCATAATCTCTCACCCATATTCCAGCACCCGGATTTGAAATGAAGATAGCAAACATATTCCTGGCGCCAATAAAAATCTATACGGTATATAATTATCACGAAAATAATTGTTACCTTTATATTAGAAAATAACTTTTTAAGACATATTAATAGACAAAATAAACCCTGAAAAACTATTACCGTAAACATACCAAAATATCACACACTAAATAAGTACGTAGAGAAGGGGTATGTCCATTTTGCATCAAAAATCACCGAAACAAGCTTTGGTGGCAAAATGTTTTTTATTTCACAGAATTAGGGGATGAATAAACTACTAAACTTCAAAATTCGAGAAGCCTCCTATGTTGGCTTTTCGAGATATATTACCGTAAACAAACTAAAGATATAGGTGGGGGGGGGGATCAGGTTAGGATACCGGTACCTAAAAAACAGCACAAAGTGAATGTCGGCTTTTATCGTGGAATATAAAATCAGGCCCATATTTCAACAATAACTTTATCTATAGACTAAAACAAACTGATCAAATTTAATAATTTATTGACACCACCCTCCGTCCTGAAATATCCCAAGGATCGAACCCTGTACCTCCTAGTTTCACATCCACACGACACAAACTAGATCATTTCAGGACTAACACATGGTTAAATTTTATTTCAATAATTTGCTTGCACGTAGAGGACCCGGAGAAAATCCCGGAGATTTGACAGAAAACCCGACTCCTTGTCACGTACAACCGGGGAATCGAAATAACCCCAGTTGACTCAATCACAGACCTTATGATGATACAGCACGCACATGTATGCTAACCATCCAACCATCCACCCCCCCCCCCACCAGTAGCAAGAACAACGGAATGGACCACAAACAAGAACCCTTGACAGTGGGAATTAAATTGCTTTCCGGAGAAAAAATTGCCCTTAACAGCGCACTGTATGGTGTATGCACTTTTCATTAATCTGGTTTGTCCAGAACAATAGGACATTAAATTCCATTCCATTTATTCCTAACTTACCTGATATATATACGACGCGGTGCAGTTTTAACGGCCCTTGATGTGACATGAACCAAGTGTTGTCATTGAGCAATCTATAAATGATTACTAAGCGAACTGGAATTGTAGCACAGAATAGAAATTTCCTCAATTCTGATTGGTCAAAAAATGTGGTTTGAATGGAAATTATCACTTGAGGCAAATTACGGCGTATAAATATTACAGTGTACTTTTTTTCATTTTTGCGATTAATGATCTTTCTGAACTCAAATCTTTATTGGCAAATATTTTCATGAAATTCTGCACGCATGACTATCACACCATTTTCAAACATCATCTTTTATGAAAACACATTTCTGAAATACATAAAACAGTAGAAAATCAGTCATAAATTAATTAAATCCGTTTTCAGGTATCCCAACATATTCGTAACTAGGCAGTGACAGTATGGACAAATTTGTTAACGATTTTTCACAATACTGACAAAGGTGACAAAGCTCTCCTGGGATTGGAAAAAATTGAAAATCACCCTCCTGGAATTGCAGACAGGAGATGACACATGCAATTATATGTGTAATGCCCTTTATTTGAGGAACAAAACACTATAATTTGGGAGCGTTTTCGGTTGGGTAGCCGATAAAGTGCTGGACTGTTGGTTTGTTTAAAGGCACATTTAATTGGGAGCGCTTTCGGTTGGGTAGCCGATAAAGTGCTGGACTGTTGCCCAGTGAATGTTTCTTTGTTTTCAAAATTATTATTTAAAAAGCCTGACAGCCATGTACATGTAGTGACCGATTCTTACGCACGAAAATGATAACAAATAAAAATATTGTGTATTGACCTCGGAACGGAGCTAATGGGAAGTAAATACAAAGTAAACATGAACAAATTTTACACAACTTTTTTGGAAATAAAATATGCAGTTGGAAGAGGAATTATGGTGGATTTAGTAGGGCAATCAAATACGCACCTAGATGAGCGATGGAGCGCAAGAGTGAGAACGAGCTTCAAACGTCAATGTCTGGAAATGTGCAAAAGTATATTAGTGTAGAAAATTAAACACCATTTCAGTTGTCTTTGAAAGGCATTTAGTGAAAGTGATATATAATAAAAGACAGCTTTATGGATGACATTCACTAGGTTTATTAACTGCAACGTTTCAATGAGGTTACTCTCACCGTTATCAAGCCAACGGTGAGAGTAACCTCATTGAAACGTTGCAGTTAATAAACCTAGTGAATGTCATCCATAAAGCTGTCTGTTATTATGATTATCATTTCAGTTATTAATTCCGTCAGAATAAAAGAATACCCGACATTTGAGGTCCATATGTGAATTATATATTAAAAATGGGGGGGGGGGGTGCATGTTGCAGACCCTATTTTATCAAAACAAATAAATTATGAAACACCAATAGATAGTCAATGGCTGGAAGAGTATTTCCTGAAAATTTAATACAAATATCTGCAAGAGTTGGCAAATTTTTAAAAAAAATTAGTTGGTGATTGTCCCCGCCCACCCAGAATATTATTTTTTATTTTCAAAATATACCCTCTTACGATGTTTAAAACCAATGATAAAAGATCTAAAATGTAGCCAAGCTACGAAATTCCTAAGCGCAAGAGTTAATCGAAGCAGATATAATTATTGACATATGTTCCAATACTCTAAAATGCGTAGGACTGAATGACATAAACAAATTGCGACCTGTTAATGGCAGCAATGGCCGACATTTTCGTTTGTACATGGACAGCACCAAATACAATATTTTGAATACAATACAACCTGTAACTGAGAGAGAGAGAGGGAGAGAGAGAGGGAGAGGGAGAGAGAGGGAGAGAGAGAGATGGGGTTTAACGTCCATGCAACACATACTAGGTCATTTCGGGACTAACATATGGTTTTTAATTTTATTTCAATAATTCGCTTGCGTGTAGGGGTCTTTAGCAGTGGGAGGAAACCGGAGGACCCGGAGAAAACCCACGAGGTTGGCAACCTGTAACTACATGTTAAGATGGGAATATGACTATGTTTCGCCGATTCTGAATTTCATGGAACAGTCTCTCGAATAAATGTAACAACAGATTTTCGTAATGGACATGGTGGGGGGCATGAATGACTAAATCGACCAATTATTATTAGTAATCGTTAGTCGTTATGCAAAACGTTATTTGGGGTTTTTTTTTTGGGGGGGGGGGGACGAATTCTTCTGTTAGTCTTACTATTCGCAAACTACAATATTATGAAAGTTGAATGTCTAAAAAGACATGATATGAATTGAAAATTTTGCAACATTTGATATCCTGCAACAATAAACCAGTCGGCACCACCTATAAGTGTTCAGTTATAAATCTCTTTTATATCTGATTGAATCCAAGGTGGAATATATATCTAAAGTTTAAACATACATTATATATGCAAGAGCAAAATCGGCCTATTAAATTGCAGGTCTTTCTTTAGGCCTGAAATGTTATAAATATTTGTTGGATTGCAGTCAGATTTGCTGCAAAACTATCTTTTGTGAATTACGATTAAATGGATAAGACTATTAGTTTTGTCTTATGGACTTCAGTAATGATGATCGAGGCTAAGCGGAACTTTCATCCGCTTGGTTCTCGGTTCATAGTGGATCAATTTGACTGAAATTTTCAGCAAGTTGCCTTTACATTATGTAGTTTTTAACTATTATAGTGAGAACTGCCAACTCGTTATCTAATCTCCCATAATGTATCTTTAAATAATTAATCTGAACAATGCCAGTGAGGATCAGTGTCTTTATATTCATTAAAAAAAAACAAATAAATAAAAACCTCCCTCCCTCCCACATTTTTGGAAAAAAAAAGGACGATCATCAACTATTTTTAAGTGGCCTTATAAAAGAAAGAAGCTTTTTTTTGCATTGCCAATGAATGTGTCGTTGTTGAGCGGAGATTACCCTCCGTGGGCAGATTACCCACGTGGTCAGCGACCGCTTATGAATAATGAAATACTGTGGACTTGAATTAAAAATCTGTTTTTCGAAGCACACACGCTAATTATGCAGTGATTTTAAAAATTATTTCACTACAAAGTCGATAGGGGCCAGGTCATAATATATTGTTACGTATAGTTACGTCTGACACAATACTTACGTCAATAAAACCATCGAGGGGTAATCAGCGCAAGGTTAGCAATCTGCGCACCAGCTTAATACTCGCAGATTGCAATCTGCGCAGTACAGCAGCGCAATGCAATCTGCGCAAGGGGTGAAGATTGCGCCTAACATCGTCATACAATGCATTGAATATTGATTGGACAATGCATTATTATGAACATAGCAACCACTAGTATCTTAGGCTAGACATCACTGTCATGGTTTATATGGTATTTATGAGGATGTAAGTATGAACTGCAATTATGTGAAGAAGAACTAGCTACAACATTGTGATAACAGTCTGCAAATAAAAAAATAAAGGCTGAAAACTTACATGAAACTCTCGAAAAGAAGTCACCTTTGTTGCCAAGAGTTACTCAGCGTTTAGTCTCGGACAGCAGGCCGGAATTAATTCAATCAGCCAATCAGCTAACACTCCACTCGGCAAACCGCGGATAATTCAGTGATGATGATGAGTTAGTTGTATTTTACTTCCGCTTCCACCGAGGTGATATCGCAGATAATTCAGTTACTCTCATAGAGCTATAGAAACTAGAGTCCGCACTGATCACGTGACAGCGCAATTACCCCTAAGTACCACTAGAATTTCCAGTCAACAAACTCGGTCGATGGTTGGGCTAAAATTTGGGAATAGTTTGTTTGACTGAAATAAAAAACGCACTAACTCAAATATGATAACATCGTTTTTTGTTTATTTTGATTATTTTCCCCCAAGTTCAAATCTGACAGTTAAGTCACAACTTTATTGAGATTTTCCTTCCAATATCAATCCCCTAAACAACGTGTTGACCTCTCTTCGGAGTGAGGTCGTCATCTAGGGTTAAGGGTCAAAGACTGACGTCATCAACTGAAAACAATGGCCGTACTAATATAAACAACTTGAATTAAGTCTGTGTCCGATGCATAAAACTGATGACAGCATAGTATCTAGTCGCTTCGGAATAAAAACAACCGTGTGGAGGGATTTATAGAGGAGTAGGCTACATGTTGTTATCTTAGTTACTGCCACCACTGCTTAATAAAGTCAAGCTTTACGTTTTTCCTCGTCATATTGAGCGACTGGATTATTCGACTGAATTATCTGCTTGATTTTTTTTTCGACCGGATTATTTGACTGTTTTTTCGGCTATCCCCGGCCCTAAATACCTAATTATTAGACTACTTTTGCCCCATAAATCGAACTTGAAACTATTTGGCAGGGGAGGGAGGTGCAAGCCCCCGGATCTTTTACAGCTATTGCTAATGCAATGGGTATGACTGAACTACTCGGTATTATCTTAGTTCACTGCAATTCCTGCTTATTATTGAGCGACTATTTTTAAATTTTAACTTCTCATCATATAACTGTCAAAAGTACATTTTGTCAACTTGATCTGGTATGAAGACCCAACTTGATCTGGGATGTGGATTTATCGACAGTGATATTCAACTGGTTTTATTGACTGAGATATTCGACTTGTTTTATTGACTGTGATATTCGACTGGTTTTATCATGGTATTGTAAGGTCCATGGTTTTATCGACTGAGGTATTTGACTTGTTTTATCGACTGAGATATTCGACTTATTTTATCAACTGAGATATTCGACTTATTTTATCGGACTGGTTTTATCGACTGAATTATTTGACTGGTTTTATTAACTGAGATATTTGACTGGCTTTATCGTCTGGATGAGTCCACAAGAAAATAGTTTTATTGACTGGGATATTTGACTTTTTTCGACGATAAAATCAGTCAAATAATTCAGTTGACAGAACCAGTCGAATAATTCAGTCAACAAAACCAGTCAAATAATCCAGTTGAAAAAAAACAGTCAAATAATCTAGTCAATAAAACCAGTTGAATAATCCTGGCGAAAAAACAGTCAAATATCCCAGTCGATAAAACCAGTCGCTCAATATTAAGTACCGGTGGCAGTGAGCTAAGGTAATATAGAATAGCCCAATCATGGTCGTAGCCAGGGGCTTCACCCCCCGCCCCTCCCAACTACTTTAAAGTCAGATTTTTTTTCGGGCAAAAGTAGTCTTATGATCTAGGTATTTAGTTGATACATGTACTTAACTGGAGGGTCATGTTTTTGGCTCGTCATCTAAGTGAATAGAATCCTACATAGGCCTGTAGTCAGTGGGGCAGTCGTTTGGATGGGATGAAAAACCAAGGTCCCATGTACACATTGGCATGCATGTAAAAGATCCCCTGTATGGCATATGCCTGACTTTATTAGCTCAGTCGGTGCACAACAGTAGGACGTTAAAGCCCATTTTATTTCATTGAGTAGCCCTTTCATGCTCATAACACGGTTCCACTTTCAGGGAATGTATCTGGTCGAGTGTATTCTCTAAGTATCGGAAATGAATACAGATTTTTCGAATAGATCTTCAACACTTTATTTCAAGAGCAAATAAATAACAGCAACAAGTAAACAACTTGTCTCTCCAACTATAATTCATCTTACATACATTTTTCTTTTTATATAAATTAGTTACTATGAAAGTATTGCCATAAACATATAATTATTGAAGGATTAAGTCATTTAAACAATAGTAAAAGAAACTTAACAGACCACCCACTTTAGTTATTTAAATCGACTGACAAATTAATTGCTGTCTGCTTCTAATGACTAACCAAGTGAACCAAGATCAATAAGTAGCCTGGAACAACAGTGGCTAAGTGAGTAAGGCGCTGGTTCGCTAGCCTGGAGGTCGCGGGTTCGTTCTCGGTATTGGCGGAGACAGTTCCTCAGGATTTTATCCAGGTGGTTTCCCCTTGTCCGTAGGGCAGGATGGAGGGTGTGACAAAAACTACAGCTGTCTAGTCTTTCTGATGGCATGAAAAACCAAGGTCCCATGTACACATTGGCGTGCATGTAAAAGATCCCTTGGCAGTTGGAATTCAATATATAAGAGTAGGCTGTAGCGCTACTGTCGGGGCAAAATTTCCCTTGTAGCACACTGTATGGCATATGCCCATCTTCATTAGCCTAGTCGGTGCACAACAGTAGGATGTTAAATCCCATTATGTAGCGGGAGTGATTAAGTGGGTAAGACGCCGGCTCGCTAGTCTGGAGGTTACATGTAGGTGTTCGATCCCTGCATTGCCCGAAAGAGTTCATCCAGATTTTCCGGTGTGATTCCCCTTTGTCAGTGATGCAGGACAGAGGGCCTGACAAGGTTAGCTGTGTAGTCATTCAGATGGGATGACAAAACGAGGTCCTGTGTACACATTGGAATAAACGTAAAAGATTCCTTGACAGGTGGAATTCGATATAAGAGTAGGCTGTAGTGCACTGTCCAGACAAAATTTCCCTCATGGCACACAGTATGGCGTATGCCCGTCTTCATTAGCCCAACAGTAGGACGTTAAACTCCATTTCATTTCATATTATTAAGTAGCCCTTTCATGCTCATAACATGGTTTGACTTTCAGGGAATGTATCGCGTGGAGTGTGTTCTCTAAGTATTGGAAATGACTACAGATTCTTTGAATAGATCTTCAACACTTTATTTCAGGAGCAAATAAATAACAGCAACAAGTAAACAACTTATAACTTATAACTTCCTATAAATCAGTCCTCCAACTAAGTTGGTCTCTCCAACTACTGTATAATTCATCCTACATACACTTGTCTTTTTATATAAATTAGTTACTATGAAAGTGTTGAAATAAGCATATAATTATTGAAGGATTAAGTCTTAAGCCATTTAAAACAATAGTTAAAGAAACTGAACAGATCAAACACTCTAGTTGCCAGCCTGTCATAATTTATATGGAGTGACAAATTAATTGTTGTCTGCTTCTAATGACTAACCAAGCATTAATGAATGTTAAAATATAGATTTGAAATTAAAAATAGAATTAAACAATAATAAAATAACATATGACCTATACATTAGTCATGTGTATCCACCTTAAAATTATTTCATACAAAAACATGACCCCATGTTTTAATCATTAATACAATCAAAATCCTTATTTTTCCATTATTCAAAATAACATAATCTATAACTATTTTCACGATAATAATTTCTATTCCTGTACAAAGGATTCCTGCTGTAAGGCCTAAAATGTCTAAATCTGTGATCTTGAGTCTTGACTACTGGTGCATTTGGCACTAAAACCTGAAACATCTCGCATGGCTGCAACCTTTATCATGGCAATTGGCAGGATGAAACCATTAACACAGGGTTATTAAAAACAGATACATCGTTAGTATCCCGAACATTTTGAACACCCACATCCTTTTTACTGGAGGCACCCTTCTTTGCAAAAAATTCCAGCTGTCGCTGTCTATCCCTTTGTATTTGGGCAAAAGAACGATATTTCTTTTCCGGACTGGGTAATTAATTTTATGAGAAGTCCCCTTTAAAGCCCATTTAAACCCCTGTTTGAGACTCCAAGACAGATAGTTGATCAAGATTTTTTATTGCTGCTACTGCTGCTTAAGGAAGAATAAAGTTGATATTCATCCTTTCTTCTTCAATATATTATGTACAATTTGACTAGCAGGGAATGTAGCTCTTCGATGTGTGCTCTCTTAGGATCAGAAATGAATACAGATTCTTGGACTGGATCTTCAACACTTTATTTCAGGAGCAAACAGTGCCTACATAACAGCAACAATTAAACAACTTATAACTTTCTATAAATCGGATCCCCAACTACATGAAGTATATAGGTTTCCTAATTAAGCTGGTCTCTCCAAGTAATGATTCATCTTACATAAATCTGACATTTTAATGTGGCCTCGTCCAGACGATAAAATCCCCCACATATCTCAGTCGATAAAATCAGTCAAATACTTCAGTCGATGAAACCAGTCGGAAAAACAGCCCAACTGTGAACCAAGATAATATAGAGTAGCCCAATGCCCGTTGCCATAGCTGTAGGAGCCGAGGGCTTGGATGGGGTTTGGTCCTCACCTGTCGCAGGAGATAATTGTACTTAAATAGATACTAATATTGTCGGCCCCCACCTCGAAAAGAATAGTCGCTATATATGACCATAGAAAGGGGGTGTTGGTGGAATGGGAGGGGGCGTGTGGGTGGGGGCGAAAATACTAGAATATGTATCACTTAAGACTTGAAACTAGTTGGGAAGCCCCCCCCCCGGACCCTACCCAATGCCCCCGGATCCTTCAGTTATGTCTACGAGCATGATTTGCTACCTCATTCCCACATGCCCCTTCCACCCAACCCCCATCGCATCCCCTTTTCTACGGTCATGTCATATATATAGGGACTCTATTCTTTTCGAGGTGGGGTTGGGGGCGAAATATCACATAAGACTTGAAACTAGTAGGGAAGCTCCCCGAACCCTACCGCATGCCCCCGGCTCCTTCAGCTATGGCTACGAGCATGATTTGCTACTGTATTATCTTAGTCCACAGAAACATGCTCGAGGCATGGGGTAGGGACCGAGGGGCTTACCAACTAGTTTCAAGAAATGAAATGGGG